CAAATGCTGTTTGTTTCGGAAGCGAGGTTATACCCATTCGGTATAGTCCATGCTGAAACGCAGTATCGCCCAGCCAGCCTGAGAATGTCAAGACGACACTGCCCATGCTCCTTTTCAACCTTTCTTCTCATCGCCACGGTACATCAAGAATATCCTCCTCGGTTTTTATGTTCCTAGCCATTGGATTCTCTGGGCCCTTTGCCACGGGCGCAGAAAAGCCAGATGCAGTCGAAACCTGAAATATCAAATTCAATGAATTGTCGAATTGAAAGGAGACGGGGGAAAGAAACGGAGAAAAAGGAATTTCTAGCGGTGAGAACATGAGAAATGTGTCCATTGCATGCGACATGCAAAGGCAGGGGGTAAAGAGGAGGTGAGAGGAGTAAAATCTTCAATTCCGCATCGTTATGCTGCTTCCACCTTTGAAGGCCATATCATGCTCGTTGAACGCTCGCCCGCATGTCGCCTGTTACACTTGGTCGTTTTACAGCACCCGTCGTTACCCCATTTCCCGTTTCTCGTTTCCGCATCCCGCTCAACCGAGATTAGTGTGCATGGATGAAGATGCCAGACACGACGTCGCACCCACGTGTATTTGCGAACAAGTGACTGTCGTTAATATTATAAGGGAACGGCGAAAAAAAAAGAAAGTAAGAAAGAAAGAAATAATGAAAGAAAGAAAAGAAAAGAAAACAGTCGAACAGTCCCTTAACCAGATAGAGAGAGAAGGGCGTTTAAAGATACCCCTCTCGACACTGTCAAGCCGCTTGCTATTGTTGGGCATTTTGAAAGTTGGGATAGATTGACAGCCCTCCTAATCCTTGGACGGCTGAAGGATGGCACACCCTGCCCCAACTTGCATAGCGCATACTTTTGTACATCACTTGAGCTCGTTGGCAGCTCTATAGATACGGCCGATAAAAGGTGAGAAGCCAAGAACCGTTATACTCAAATATATTGAGAACCTGGCTGAGATGGTGTGGCCATTCAATGTAAGTATATCTCGTTCTCGGCGGTGTGCTTGATAGACGTTGCTCCCGTCTCAACCCCTCGAGTATACGAGGAAAAAGACAACCGGCGAATATACGCATTCTCGCTCCCTAAGGGCAAGCTCACATTGTCACGGAAGCCTCGGTCTTCTGCTGCCTTTGTCCCTTTGGCCACTCTTCGTCTTCATCTTCGTCCTCGTCTTCGCTTGTGGTGATGTTTTTTCTTTGTCGACGTTGAAGTTCGTCAGGTTTGTTTGCGGAAGTTCAAGCGCGATATCTTACATAAGCCAACAATGGAGTCACGTGCCAGGAACATGACAAAGAAAGCTTTCTGTAGCGATAAAAGATGAAGATAAAGACGACGAGGAGGAAGCCGGAGGAGAAGAAGACAGTAAAGGGACAGCAAGGGAGAAAGGCTCTACACTTAAATATGGCAGAAGAAGAGACGTATATCTTAATTACAGGCACGAACAGGTAAGACATGGTGCCCTTCTCGAGAAAACGAGTGCAATGGCTAACGAGTCCGGGAGTTATCAGTGGCCTAGGCTTCTCGACATGCTGCCGATTGATGGATGAATTCCTTGTCTCACGGCCAGATAACCAATCTCTCACCCTGATATTTACCACCCGCAGCGAGAAAAAGAGCAACGAGACCCTTGCGCAACTGAAAAACCACCTGCGAGCTACGGCAAGGAAGCTATGGGGCCTCGAAGGAGCGGCCAAAGCGGAGTCGCGCATAACATTTAAGCCTGAACACGTTGACCTCTGTGATCTTCTCTCCGTTCGCGCCATGGCCAGACGAGTTGTTGCAGAAATACCCAAACTTGATATCCTCATACTCAATGCCGGGATCGCAGGTTTCACAGGGATCAATTGGCCGTTAGCTTTTTGGTGTGTTTTGACAGACACAATATATGCACTTACCTGGCCAGCCCGCTATACCTATAGTAACGTCGGGGTTATGAACAGAAAACAAACTTCTCAGCCTGACGAACCACCAATGGGCAAGATCTTTTGCGCTAATGTATTTGGACATTACATGTTGACGCATTATCTGCTCTCAGTGTTGGGCAAGTCCACGCTCAAGCCTGCACGAGTGATTTGGACTTCTAGTCTTGAATCAACAAGGGAGCTTTTCAGCGTTAATGATATGCAAGGTCTCAAGGTTGCGGAGTCGTACCAGTCTGTCAAGTACTTGACCGATCTCCTGATTCTAACCGAGCCGCTTTCTTCCTCAGCCCCTTGGGCAGATAAGTATCTCACCCCGTCGACATGCAGCGGTATGGATACCAACTCAGCCACCTATACAAGACCTAAGATGTACCTCAGCCATCCCGGAATTTGCTCTACCTCCATTGTTCCCCTTGCACTTCCCCTTGTCTGGAGCATGATGTTTGTAAGCTGGATAGCACGGCTTATGGGGTCACCATGGCATGTTATAGACCCATACTCTGGGGCTAATGCAACAGTCTGGCTGAGTCTTTCCCCTAAATCAACACTAGACGGTGCTGAGGCAGAATATGAGCGTTTAGGTGGGGGGAAACCAAAGTGGGGTTCAGCATGCGACAGACTTGGGAGACAGTGCGTTGCTTCTACAGAGGTTGAGGGCTGGGGATACGCCGGTGTAGTTGGCCCGGCGGTTCTGGAAGCTGATAAACTACGAAGACGGAAGCGTGGCGCTACAGACCTCACGGCGGAAGAAAAAACAGCATTTGTTGATGCCGGACGAGATTGCTGGAAACAGATGGAAACGTTGAGACTTAGGTGGGAGGATCTTCTTTCCAGAGAGGAGGCTAACAATGTTAAATCTTGATATTCAGCAATTTTTTGTCTACTATATTCTCATTTCTTACCGGTGGATATGTGTGTAATCCACGGTGATTCTTGCTACATACAACCTTTAATATTTATGACATATACAAATACTCATTCAAATTATGTTATGATGAGGTCATACGAGCGAAGTGTTGTTTAAAACTGCCGAATCTACGCTACCTTACCATCTCTGTGTATGATAAATTCGCCAACATACATGTTTTTAAGACTTTGGTAACTTAAAGGAAGGATAAACATCATCATCATCGTTATCCTCCTGAGACGAGGATATAGCCTTAGCACTACGAGTATGACTACTTCTATAGCTGTCATATTGTACCATTTGCCATTTAAGAGGCATAGCAACAGCCAGTAGAGAATCCAGGCGTCGCTTTGCAGTGTCGTGTGCCTGCGAGCCAATGTTAGAGAGAACTCCAGACCATAGATTATGGAGAGTGGGCTAGCTCCCATGTATTGTATCTAGGAATTGGCCTCATCCGGAATTTTGGTGATAGCAGTTGGTCTGAGGTACACAAAGATGATAGGACTGTACACTGACCCTAGTCAGTGTAGCAATATGACCCAAGGTCACGGCGGAACAAACGGGCATATCAAGACATATTTTCCATGCCGGATATGATACCCATCCTCCCCTAGAGGGAAAGGAAGTCAGAAGCCTATCATCGTTATCATCTCGTCATCATATTCTTAAGTGTTCAGTAAAGGGTATCACAGGGGCATCTTGTTTCGTATCTTGCTGGGCAGTCTATGCATCGTAGGCCATGGTGAATGGATGGAAGAAAGATGGGTGACGTTGAGACTTAAGCGCGCGGAATAGCCGCGCAAAGTCTAAATAGTTCCCTTGTCCTTGCGATTGTTTATCAAGACATCAAACAAGCATTTGAAGGAAGTAATTAAGCTAGTAACTAGTTAGTTTATCGCAAGTGAGGGTTCTTGCGAGGGACGAGAAGATTGACTCCGTGGTGTGGCATACGAGTGTAAACATACACAAGCAGATAGCCGTGGTTAACCTACATCCTGCATGTAACCCCCGTTAAATGGCAATTAATTATACAGTAATAACGTCATAAATAGAATATACGTCCATATTTAATGGGAATAAATGGTTAATTGATGAGTTCATATTACCTCTTGAAACGTCTGTTATAATTTGCTAAGGAGAAAGCGGATCATAATGAGGCGATTATTGACCCGGGAAAGTAGCTGATCAAGCATATAACCAATTTCTATTATTGACGAAGATGAGATCGAACGGCAACTATAATGCACTGCCCCAGAAATATTATTAAGCTTAAATATCTAGTTAACTAACTAGTGATCCGGTCTTCCTTGAGTCTATTTTTTGTGAATTCACATTTCACCGAATTCGGGTCGTAGACAGGTAAAAAGGGGGCAGGAATATGTCGAAAAAATGGCGTCTTCAAAGTTGGATATCATTCATTCCCAACCCCCTATCCGCATTTCACAAAGCTGAATGACGCAGCTGCAATATTTTCCCCCATTCCTCTACTGGATAAATCGCGCCAGAGCCAATTCGGAGCATTATAAGCTCAACCTTTGGACCGACCGGCCAGGTTTCACAAATATAAGAGCCCGATGCTTTCCTCTTAATAGTTTGGCATTGTTTCCTTATCGGCGTCGTATTCCAAATCGCCGGATCATGCGACGAGATCAAGTCATACGACCTTCCTGGACGCGTAATAATATTCCTGATCTTGCACTGTGAATCGATGAAGGCTGAATAAATATATGCCATTGTGGGATACAAGCTAACTACCATAGCCACCGCACCACACTCGAACGCTGCCTTTCGTGTTTTCCATCATAAAATGCTGCAGTAGGATGATTTTTTTGGGGGGAAGAGAGAATAAAAGGGGGATAAAAGGTGAAAGCATGAGCTTGAAGAAAGACCCTGGCGGTAAAAAGGGGGCGATTAAAAATGCAAGGCAAAGCAAGGTTGCAAAACAGGAATAAAAGGCAACTAAAGGAGTAAAAAAAAGCAGATAATAGAATAAACCCAGCCCAGCAGTGGAGAATGGAAGACGAAAGCGATAATAGATATAGGGGGGGAGTGGAGAGAGGAAAAGGGGTAAAATGTTCGCTATACATAAAGTGAGCAATGGTAAAAGGTGGGCGGAAGAGATGGATGGATGCAACATGCAGAGGATTAAGAGATTAAAAGAGCAAAGAAGGGTAGGTTAGCAAAAGAAGTGAGCCATCAAGGAGCAAGAAGAAAGAAGAAGAAGAAAGCAAGTGGAAGAGAAGACCGGAGGAGGAAGAAAAAGCACCCATCCATCCGATCTATGGTCATGGCCCCTGACTTCGTACCGCCCGAGTTGCAGATTATGGAGAGACGTTGATTTCTTTATTATCATATGTAGGTGCAGGATCAAGCCCGTTCATGTCGTTTGAGTAGGTGTGCATTTACATAATGATTGAAGGAGCTAGACAGGTTAGTTAGACATGTAAACAGAGCTATAAGGGGGTATATATAGAGAGAGAGAGAGCGTGTGTGTGTGTGACTTACAGTCGACGTTCTGCTTGATGCTCTTGTGAGGGAGGATAGAGCCACCGTTGACGTAGACCTCATCACCGATAGTCACGTCATCACCCAGGACCGAGACGTTCTCGAGACGAGCCCAGCGGCCGACGGAGCTGTTCCAGCCGATGATGCTGGACTTGACCCAGGCGTGGTCCTTGACCTTGCTGTTAGCGAGCAGGACGCATCTCTGGAGACGGACGCCATCGCCAATGACGACGTTGGGTCCGATAGTCACGTTGGGACCAATACGGCAGTTCTTGCCAATCTTCGCGGAGGGGTCGACGAGGACGTTTCCGCCGTGGACATAGGGCTCGCTGGGGGAGGCGAGCAGCTTGGAGCCCTGCTTGGTGAGAGAGGTGAGGTAGAGACAGGTTCCACTGAGGAAGTCCTTGGGCTGGCCGACGTCCATCCAGAAACCCTCAAGGTCAAAGGAGTGCAGCTGGCCGTCCTTGCATATGGCAGGGAAGGTCTCTTGTTCAATGGAGGTTGGGCGAAGCTCGATGCGCTTGAGAACGCTGGGGTTGAGGATGTAGATGCCGGCGTTGATGCGGTTGCCGACGAACTCGACTGGCTTCTCGACGAAGCGGTCGATGCGGGAAGGGTGGTTTGGCTTGTGAACTACGACACCGTACTTGGAGGGTTCCTCGACCTTGGTGACGACAATGGTGCCCTCGTCGCCGTGGGCCTTGTGGAAGTCTGCAAGGGCCTGGAAGGGGTATTCGCAGATGACGTCCGAGTTGAGGACGAAGAAGGGCGAGTCATCCTTGCCCAGGATCTTCTCGGCAAGCTTAAGGGGACCGGCGGTGCCTAGGGGCTCAGACTCGACGGAGAACTCGATCTTGACATTGTACATTTCCTCATACTGCGGTTCATGTTAGCCCCTTTTGCATCACCGTCAAGGAGAGAGAGAAATTGAGGGGAAGCTACCTTCTTGAGGGCCGAAACCATGACATCTGGGCGGTAGTTGACCGCGAGGACGATATCAGTGACACCAGCAGCAGCCAAGCTCTCGACCTGGTGGAGGATCATAGGACGGTTGGCAAACTCGACCAATGGCTTGGGGAGAGTGAGAGTCTGTCGTTCCAGGTCAGCTTCTGGTCGTGTTCTTCGCGGGCAATTGGAGGTGGGAGCCCGTTGTCTGTCTCAGTTTTCGATCGAGGGAGGGCCCTCTCTATATGCCACGTACCAATGGTCTGAGACGGGTTCCAAAGCCGCCGACGAGAATTAAAGCTATACAGACGTCAGCAGTGGCCCGAGACGCAGCCGACGAGAGAAGAAGAGGCCCAGCGTACCCTTCATGGTGGGCTGTTGGTGGTGTTCTGATAGCTCTTCTGAGAGGGAGAAGGAGGGCGGTGCAAGGAGCGCGGGACGAGCAGCCGAAACAGCCAGATATTAGATGGTGGTCAGGAGAGGGTCAGGAAGAGGAAACGAGAAGACTGAGATCTGCTCGACGTCGTGCTGCCTTTTCTTTATAGTCGCTGCCGGGGCGTTGGTGCTCAGGGGCTTGGGAGAGACGAAGGGAGTTGTCCTGTACGTGTGATTTGCCTGCTTGGGGGGGGATGTTTGGTGTTTGTTCGCTCGCTCGCTCGCTCTCTCTCTCCCGCCAGAGTGAAGTAAAGTCAGCTGGGCGAGGGCGACGGTGCAATAGGGCAAACCCGCGGCATGGCAAAGCCAAAATTTTCCAGTGCAAGTGGAGATGAAGCGCCCCTGAGGTACATCAGGATACCTGCTGGTGCATATAAAAATGCGCGGGTGGTAATGTACTCGCAGGTATCAGCTCACCCCCCTGGCCACTCCCCAGAGCGTCGCGGCCCTGAAACCGACCCAGGGATCCATACAACTGCTCTATCAATCGAATGAGCCGGCGCCAGGGCGGTCCACCGTATCTCGAGGATTCGCAAGCCTCTCCCCTGGGGCTCTGTCGTTGGTGGCGTGTCCTCACAGGGCAGAGTACGGACGAGCAGCTAATCGACAGGAGAGGCAGACTGGCCGACAGACAGGAGCGAGGAGGATGAATTGAAAGGACACGGTTGTAATAATTCGAACACGGGGTGAAACATGCATCGAGATGATAGGTTGCGTGATGTCCCACTTGATACTACTATTCAGAGATTCAAGATGCTACTAAGTAACTACGTGGGGTTTAACTCTGGGAACTTGGTAGGAATAAAGAGAGGGAATATATGGAGTACAAGAATTAGAGTAGAGAGTATACAAGGAAGGACAAGGTCAAGCTGATCCGTTGGAAAAAAAGCTTTCAATGATTGAGTCGATTATTATTATTCTTGAGTATCTGGAGGGAGCCGGTTAACCTGTTCACGGGCCGGTCCGATAAAGTCGAGCATCCAGGACCTGACTCTGGCGACTTTTGCCATCTGCGGGTCGTGGCTGTCTGTGGCAGGGCCATCTAGACGCCGTGCTGGGTAGGGACCCTCAGAGTCCATCTCATCGACAGGTCTCCGGTGCAGCAGGTCCAGGCTGGTCAAGTTGTTGCGCAGACTCTGCCCGTATACTTGGCCCCGGAAGGTTCCCAGCGCTACTGATCGGAGAAGGACGATGTCACATGGGCGGACTTCCTCCAGGGACTCCCAGCGGGCTCTGCTTTGGCTGCTGCTGCTGCTGCTGGAGCTGATGAAGATCATCTCGCGGCGGAAGCCAGCAGCTAATACGAAATCCTGATTTCGTTTCGTCGCCGACCAGCAGCTCGACCAGGTCCATGGCTCGTCCCCAGCGAGTGCGTACTCGACGACGCTGCTCGACTGAGATAACAGCCACTATCAGGTTGACTGTGACAACCCGTGGAGCCAGCCCATTGACATACACTGCCTTGGGGATGTCCTCAAGGTCGCTCAAATGGGGGCGGACGGTCGATCGAAGTTGGGAGCCCGTTGGCAGCAGGGATGAAGCGTCCCCTTCTGGACTGTCAATCAAGCCAGCAGTGGAGTCGTCGTCACCAAAGGACCTCGTATCATCATTGTCAAAGGAGCCAGATGAGATGCCTTCATGCAGTGCAAAGGACTGCTCATAAAACGCAGACAGGGCCGTCGTCTCGAGCCCGCTGACGGACTCGCCGCTGTATCTCTGCACGGCGCCCGCTGTAAAGAACCATTCGCCCTCGTCGATGGGCCCAGTCAACACCGTAGTCTCCCTGACCTTCTCCAGGCTCCTCCATCGAGCTTCGGCCGCTGCGTGGTGCGTCTTGCTGCCGGCCGTCTCCAGCTCGTCTTCCTCCCAGCACAGAGAGCTAGGCACTGGTGCGCCCGTCAGGACGATGTGTCTCCGGGACATGCTGAGCACGGCATCGCCAGCTTCCTGAGCTCCTCCGTACTGCTCCTCCAGCTATGTAGACGCCATCTCCATCTCCATCTCTATCTTCATCGTTTATCACCGTCGTCGTCGTCTCTTGTTGATGTCGCGATGTCTTCTTTTCGCTTCCTTTGACGTCCCTCGAAATAAATGTGCTCGCTTAGTCAGCATCCGGAAGTGGCAACTCCAACGGTTTTTCTTCAACTTCGAACATCGCGAAAGCCGCAGAAGAAAGAGAGAGAAAAAAAAAGACGAAGACCAGCAAGCAAAACAGCAAAACGAACCCCGAGATCAGCCGGCGACGGGCATGGCTGCTATCATCGCCCTCTACCTAGCCGTGTCTTGCAATCACATCTAGTCCTCTTCTGCCTCTTTTTCTGTGCGAAAATCGAGCGGTTGAGGCATGGCGTTCCACGCGCACCTCGGCCTCCCGGTAAGTCGAACATACGCCAGCTCTCCCAACGACGGACATGCAGGCTAACGATGGCTGTGTGCGGTAGAATATTGCGGCCGTGACCTCTGACCTGTGGCCGTCAGTGTCAAATGTGCTCTCGGCGCCGTGGGGAGGCCGCCAGGCAGCTGTCTCCGGCTCGCGTGCGTATCATGCGTCATCAGTGAGAAGGCCAGGGCAAACGGCACGGAACGACACACCTTGCTCGGTAGGTCTATATACAACTGCCTATATCTGGGATGAACGACGGCTCACACGTTGCGTTAGGCTCCGGTCACGCTGCCTGACGGACTTGGGGTAGATACGCTCAGAGCAGCCGCGGAACTGAACCTTTCCCTACGCCACCAGTCTTCTCCCCCAACAATGTTGCTACAGGGTACGCAGTGCACTTCTATTCGGGCTTAAAAAAAAACAATGTGTGACAACCTGACAATCATTCTAGGTAGCCGTGCAGCTAGCCTCAGCTCGCAGCTCTCTCGATTCGCAACAACACCAAGACGCCACCATTCAACTCTATCCTTTGCCCAACTCAACCGTCCGTCTCCCGTCCCCAAACCAACCGGTCTATCTCCGCTCCAATGTCAAAGGTTTCTCTTCGGAGGATCTTCACAGAATGTCCTCGCGCGTATGGAAAGATCTGCAAACAACAACCCCGGGAGTGCTGCCGCTCAAAACTCTTTCTACAATGCGCTGTTAAAAGCAAACATGCCCGGGATCATAATTGAACGGTACCGCAGCGGGAAATTCGCTAGTAACTCTCTGTCTGAAGCTGTCTACGCAAAGGCACTCCAGAAAGTTGGCAGCGGCAGCGAACAGGCCCTCGGTCAAGGCCAACAGCAGCAGCAACTCAACCCCGCAAATCAGAATTTGAGTGCTGATCAGCTCCAGGCCATCGGCCAGGCAGTGGCTGCTCGTTCATATGGAGGTCAAATCGGCATATCCAACAAGAACAGCGGCACGGGGGCCAAAGATACCCCCCTATATGTCGTTGTTGACGAGTCTCTCGGCAGCTCCATCTTCCGCTGGGTTAGGTTCTTCCTCTTTTTTGGATTCATCACATACTTTTCGCTTCTGCTTGTTACCGTCTTTGTCGAGACCACTGGTATCATGAAGAATGTCAGAGGCTCGCAGGCCAACGAAGCCAAGCCGGAACATCAAACCGTCAGATTCAGTGATGTTCACGGTTGTGACGAGGCAAAGGATGAACTGCAAGAGCTTGTTGAATTCTTGTCTAACCCTGAGCGATTCTCTTCCCTAGGCGGCAAACTCCCCAAAGGTATACTTCTTGTTGGCCCTCCCGGAACCGGTAAAACGCTCCTTGCCAGAGCTGTTGCTGGAGAAGCAGGCGTTCCTTTCTTCTACATGTCCGGCTCCGAGTTTGACGAGATATACGTTGGTGTTGGAGCTAAGCGTGTCCGTGAACTGTTTGCCCAGGCCCGGGCCAAAGCACCAGCTATCATCTTCATCGATGAGCTTGATGCCATTGGCGCCAAGCGAAACGAACGAGATGCAGCCTATGTCAAACAGACTCTCAACCAGCTTCTTACCGAACTCGACGGCTTCTCTCAGACAAGCGGTGTTATCATAATTGCGGCAACCAACTTCCCGGAACTCCTTGACAAAGCTTTAACCCGACCTGGCCGATTCGACAGAAAGGTCGATGTCAATCTTCCCGATGTTCGTGGCCGAGTTGACATTTTGAACCACCACATGAAGAACATTCAAGTCAGCACTGAAGTCGACGCTACTGTCATTGCTCGTGGAACTCCCGGATTCTCTGGTGCTGATCTCGAGAACCTCATCAACCAAGCTGCTATCCGCGCCAGCAGGGACAAGAAAGCCAAGGTTGGCCCCGAGGACTTTGACTACGCCAAGGATAAGATCTTGATGGGTGCAGAGGCCCGCAACCGCATGCTTAGAGACGAAGACAAGCTAAAGACCGCGTATCATGAAGCTGGGCATGCCCTTGTTGCTTATTTCTCGCCTGATGCCATGCCGCTTTACAAGATCACCATTGTCCCTAGAGGAGTGTCGTTGGGAACAACTCATTTCTTGCCGGAGATGGACATTGTTTCAAAGGATTATACAGAGTATATTTCCGACATCGATGTCTCCATGGGCGGCCGGGCGGCTGAAGAACTTATATATGGACCTGACAGAGTTTCCAGCGGTATCTCGGGTGTAAGTTTATTAAAACCTCTGTTTCTTTCGTTAATGTTTTACCGTTTATTAACCTTGTTACAATACAGGACATTCGAAGTGCAACGCAAACTGCTTTTACCTTGGTGACACAATATGGTTACTCTAAAAAGCTAGGCAACGTCGACTTGAACACCGGTTATGACATGCTCTCTGCGTCAACAAAGCAGGACATTGAGGATGAGGTACGCCGTCTAGTTGACGAAGCTAGCGCTCGCGCGTCGGCTATCTTGAAGGAGCATCGCCACGAACTCGAACTCCTAACTCGCGCCCTGCTCGAGTACGAGACCCTAACCAAAGAGGAGATGGAGAGGATAATAAAGGGTGAGAAGCTCGACAAGATATTAATGCCTTCGAAGACACCGATAAAGCTACCGGAAGCTCTGACTTCCGTCCATATAAATCCTGTCACTGGCAGCACCTCTACCTCAAAGTGAGCTACAATGCGCCATGGAGAGACAGACGACCGGCCGTGATTCATCAAAATCAGCGCTCGCATAGTGGAGAGAACTGGAGAGAGATAAATTGTGTTTCTCCAAGCATCAAAGCTATATATTTTGATATGTGTATTATTTCAACTCATGTTGAACTACTACTGCTACTACTAGTATGATTAGCAAGCACTTACTGATACATACTGCTACCTCTGCTGCGTGATCGAATGGCATCTTCTCTTGGATCCGCTTCAAATCGGGACGATCTCCTCTTACCTCCTCTTCAACCTTCTCTCTTCCCAAAAAAAATGAGTCCGGAAATCTTCCTCACAACCTCCATCCCTTTCTTATTTTCTTTTTTCTTTTCTTTTTGACCTCCCTCAAAACTTCAAACTTCCCGCACTCTTCTTTCCCCTCCTCATCTATTCGATATATACCTACGCGAGACGCCACACTCGGACTTCATTTTCGCATGTTTGCCCGAATTATCTGCTCCGTCCCTTTTGTTTTTCCCCATTTTGGCTTCCCCCATATGCAATGTGGGAAAAGGCTTTTCGAAACGACCGTCTGTACTCCGCGTATTCTTACTCTACTCGTGTATAATTGGAATAAATAGAATAAAATGCGAAAAAATCTCCTGCCGAAGCCCATCTCCATTAACGAACAGGCGAACAGCTGCTATAAACGTTGCTCTTGTCTTGCATCATCGCCTCGTGTACCCAGTCAGCTGGTGTTGGGTTGGATATAGTAGTAGGTAAAGGGGGAACTCCACCATCCCTCCGTCCGATAGTTACCTCTACAACAAGCAATATAGCTAAACGTGATTAATGACAGAAGGCAAAAGGAACGGCCCGTCCGACCCGGCCGATTCAACCTTCCTTTCCTCCTCAAGCTCCGGCACTCTCATGGTATCCGTTAAGTTATTGTTTCTTCGGCTTCATTATTGTTCTCAGCTACAGGGAGGGTGTCCCCTGAATCAGGATAAGGCTCAGCTGCGTTGCCCTGCACTACGCAGGATCTTGACCCTCGCTTCCCTGCGGTGTAACTAACAGACGTATGTCATCAGTTTCTCGCCTAACTAGTTGCCTGGTAGATCGATCGATCTGTGCACTGTCGACTTAATTAATATAGCAAGTACAGAGTAGACACCGATCCAGTCCAAGGCCTGCTTTGGAACTACCTGGCTGACGCCCAACCAGCTCACTTCCCCTTATAGAATATGCATACTGGCAGTTTACCTTGCGGTTGCATCAGATAAACATGAAACAGATAAATTATCCTTGACCTTTAAGATGCCCAATCCCGAGAAGCTTTGAGTCACTTGAATATAGAATCAGCCCCCTAGCTAACTACTCCGTTCTTGGCTGTCCGATTCCATTTCTTTTTTCGAAGCACTTGTTCGACCCAACTAACGATGAGCTTTGATCCGAGTGTTTTCTGTCCATATGCACTCGATTTTAAAGGCTGGGTACTCGGACCACTCTGACGTTTGTCTAGGAAACGCATCCCCGGTACGGAGTATACCCACTAGATAGAAACGATGCAAGGCGAATGCATGCTTTCTGTACGTCAGGAGATTAGTACACTAATGACACGTCTGGGACCAATTACTCCTTAGGTCCGGTCGTATTTTGTATTGGTTGACTTACCAGAGCCAAAAGCGCACAGAATGAGCACGGGCTGATATCTTCCATGCTCCCATGGTATACCACAACCACAGTCAGAGACAGTGATTGACACAGGGAACCGTTCCGTACCAGCGCCCTTGGTCCCGAATCCGATGTGGCTTGGAGAAAAAGCCAGATCTCCATTGCATCCATGCATATCCTCACTCTCCCCCTTTTTAAACTTCTGGTCTACAGTACTTAAGTATATGTCCCATTGCTTTTTCCTAGTCCATGTAGGCTAACTTATACTTCAATCTAGCCCGCATCATACAACCATGTACTCTAGAGTACACCTACCCTGCCTTTGCAGGTAGGGGAACTTGCAACAGTTCTTCCTATACGTAGGCGGCACCGGCAAGCAGAGATCTTTATCGGAAGAACCATATGTTCTAATGCAAGAGGCTTAACTGGGCACGTATTCAACGTCCCGTTTAGGTAAAGGGCCACTGGCAGCTGTAGAGACGGACGAACTAGAGATGCAGTGCATAGGCGAAGTCCATCTTAGGGAGGTAGATATACTCCCCGACTGGGTGTATCCATGCTCGGCTGGTGGGGTTGAACTTTCAACGCAAGCCCACGCCATCACGTTGGTAAAAAGGGGCGGCAGGGAGGGAGGGGTTTTTCCTTTTGGAATCAGACCCGGGATAAGGAAATATTTGTAAGAGAAGGGCCCGTTAGGAGGAGATATTGGCGAGTGGATTGACTGCGGGCTGAAGAAGAAGCAGAAGAAGAAGCGTCCTTAGAGGGGTGAGGGGCGGACCGTCTCCGCATTATGCAGATAATAAAGGCAGATTGTTTCGGGGATGTGGTGAAAGCAAGAGAAGAGGTTGATTCAAGGGAAAAAGAAAGGAAGAGAAGAAGAAGAAGCAAAAGGAAAAAGAAATCAAACATGTTTTTGCGGCGCATCTTGACTGGACCAGTCGACGCACGGTGTTTATATCAGGCGCTTCTTTTAAGGCCTGTGCGTGCGAGATGCATCGAGATTGATATATCAACGATATATACTCTTTCTTCTGCGGTACACGATAACGAGGCCGTTGGCTAGTTAGTTAGACGGTCTCATGGTTAACTGCCGTTAGCCCTGGTACGCAAGCTGTCAAAAGAACCGAGACGAATCTGACAAGTTTCAAAGCGGGACAGGCAATATCAAGCCCACACACCCTATAGCGATGGAGAAGCAAAGTCGAACTCTCGTGAATAGGTGTCTATCAACTAGTGGCCCTGAAAGTAGGCTGTCACATCACCCTCGCAGTCCTGGAGATTGAAGTCCATGGAGGCGTGGTTGATAAACATGGGCGAGGATCTCCCATGCCAAGTGGACGGTGTTCTTTTTTATCATGATGGAGACATGACCTGCAGACGTTTTGGTTATTCTTGCCTGATATACGGAGTATGGTAGTTAACTGGTTAGCTCTGTATATCACCTGCATATACTCCGTACAGAGAGGCACCGAGACAACCAAATATCGGGTGTCTGTTTTTATAGCCCAAATACGTGCCAGACCGGAACCCCCTTGAACAGTCAACTAGTTACCGCGTGTCTCAACCATCAGAGAACTATACAGCGCGCCTGTGGCCCTTCTTCTCGTTTCCCCAAGCGGCCTGGACGCAGCTGGCCAACCTTCTTCTCGTGCTCCCCTCTCCTATCGCTCCTTGCAGCAATATGATGTATCTGATGAGACCCACCAGTGGGCGGACAGTAGGGCATGGTATTGGTGACAGGAACCAGCGGGCGCAAACCATGCAAGGGCTGGATGGTGAAGATAGCAACCGCTGACTCTCTGAACGGCTCTTAGAGGGTTTCAAGCAGCGCTTCACGGCGCGGGATGTGTGGGGCGCTGGCGAAAGGTGTAATCCTTCGACAACGCACGTAAACAAGCCCATTTTGAGGGTGGGATGGATGGCATGGCCAAATTTAACGGAGTCGTTGTTATTTCAAGCCCCCCAAACACTGATTGCTAAGGGATGAGCAATTCATTTGGCCAAAGTATCAATTGCTGTGACGTTATGGGTTCACGAGGCACGCAGTATATTCCGCACGTAACTATGTAGCTATGCAGAAAAAGAAAAGAACCTCCAAAGCCAATAACTAGTTATCTCATGAAAAAGAAGGCATGTTTCCTAGACTCTCTCTTGACAAATACATATCGAGCTTGCCTGCGATCGACGGTCCTTTAAAGAAGATATGTTCAGGCTGTGCCTCTTGACCCCAGAGCCCAGACCGTGCAAGGGAGGGAAGAAGAAAAGGTAAAAGTCAATATCACTCGTAAAAATGTATGCTTTTGCCAAACCAGCCAAAGAAGATCAGTGAAGTATGCAAAAATCCAACGCCGAGAAAAGTAAGAGAATGCCCGAGTCGAGGCCGCCCCTCCACCGCACGAGACCACTGTTAACAAATTTGGTTTCATCATCTTCTTCGTCTTCGTTGCTGTTGCGTGACAGTTCTCCCATAGAGACATGAGACATTCGTAGTGAAAACAGAGTTGCAAAATGAAGGGGGAGGGAATAACTATGGTATCGAGGCGCAAGCAGATCCCCCCGAATTTCGCACCGTACGTTAATAGAAACAGGTCCTGCTGAGGGGGAGGAGGATTTGGGCAGGTCAAAGTGGACGCTTGAGTCCGTGGCTCTCTGTTAGGAAGATTGAGAGGCAACGGCAGATTGCTCCTTTTTCCTGCAGTCCCCTGGATTACACAATAAACATGTTAGGTATCAATTGAATATAATATTTTGAAAGATTGGCCGTATAAATAGACTTGGAGGCAGAGGAAAATATCAAAAAGAATCTGTTTGAAAGGAAGGAGGTAATACCGCATTTATCCCCAGGCCGGGTCTCGCTATATCCAGGAGTCGTGTTAGTTGCCTCCTTGTATTGTTATATCCCAAGTTCTGAATACTTGAAACGAGCTCTAGGCGCAAACATACCTTGCAACGACATTTGGAGGACATCGTTTCTGTGTTTTCTGGTACACAACACACCATGCCCTGACCAGCAGTCGGATATGGCTACACTGGTAATTGACTTCAACGTAATCGCACATGTTCGAAATGTATGTATGACATTCAATAACAAAAGAGGTCTTGGAGTGAGATTAAAAATGAACGAAGCTCAGGAGGTAAAAGTGAAGATATAAATAGTCTAGTCCTGTCTAGCCGCAAGTCCACTGTTGGCGGCAAGTATGATAACTAACATATGCATAGGCCAAGCGGGCCTGATGTAGATTCTGGCAGGTAACGCAGTGCGCCGGTAACTAGCAAAGTAACCACCCACCCTTCGTACGCGAGCTGGTAGGGGTGAATTGTTTTTTGTATTCTTTTTTTTTTTTTTTTTTTTCAAGAAGTACGTTTTTTTAGTTAACTATGTCTTTCCAGTTTTTTTTTTTTTTCTGTTTTGTTTTTCGTGCTTTTTTTTTCCCCCTTGTCCATGCGAAGGGGTACAAGGAACTGAATGCACTCATGGTGAAAAAGCAACTGAGCGTTCGTATAAAGGTGCATTCTTAGAATGGTGTAATTGAGATATTGTACGGGAGTACTTGTGCTCCTTAAAGAGGATATGCAGGACCGGTCTGGTCTGTCCCCAGATGCTGTGAAACAGGGAGCAGGAAACCTGGCCTGACATCGGAGGCGAGTGGATTGATTGAGTAATATCCCTAGGATGGCTTGAGGCACAGTATATCCATTTCCGGCCGTGGAGGATTATGGCGAAGGGAGGAATTTTTTTTTACCCTTCCTCTCCCCAGTCGCTTATGCACAACTGCCCAGCTTCCGCGGTGCAAGGAGAAGATCCACCATATCAGTTGGGGAGATCGACGTTCCTGGTTTTGACATCGGATGCCCCCAAAAACTTGAAGGGGGCTGTAATATAACAGCCTTCCCGGGCTTGAGTGCATTCGGTGCTAGCTCGTCCCAGGTAACGTCAACTGTGCAGGAAGGGACCTCAGCTTGCGAGGTAGCGGCCGGCCTTCCCACAATTATTTAGTCCAAAAAAGGTGCAAAGAGGAACAAGGTTTATATTACTCCCACCTATATGCATGTCCCTGCACCCAATGAAGTATCTCTCGGGGCAATGTCGCAAGGCTCGGCACACAATGCCTGTCTGCTGATTTTCGCAAGGCCGGGTTTCGTATTATTATTAACAATTCCACAAAGAGATGCTAGAGTCTCGAAATTGGCAATCCAGACCGCATTGCGCGGGAAGAGCTGTGTTAGATGCGCATACCTGGGCCCGAAGAAAAACGAGATGCGCGATAGAACGAATCGGATACTCCGAGACATTTTCCTCGACGTATTTATGCATATCTGCATCAGCGTCGGAATGATCCTTCCCCAGGCCGGCCGCAAGAGTAAGAGTTGTACTCGGCAACTAGGAACAAGCCAGTTGCCAAGCTTGCGGTAACTAAGGGGGAGTGGAATCTAGCGTCCGAGGTCATTAGCCAGATAGTGATGCTGGAAAGACATCTCGAAATTAGACAGCTCGCATTCACGGGAAGTGGTAAAGAGTGGTTGAACCAATCGATATCGGGAGGCGAACGTTGGGAATAGGAAGAAAGAAGGTTTTTTTTGAGGGACGCAGAAATCTTTCTCAGTCGTGGTTGAATGATGAGTTGCCACAGCATACTCCATACTGTTTATGTTAGTAGCGAACCGTTTTCCACAGCCCACATGAACAAAAGGGGGAACGAAAGCTGGGCAACCGGCTATGTGGAGGAATTAGTTACGGCCAACAGGAAGCGATATCTTTATAAACCAATCTACGCACGCGTTGATGACAAAAAAAGGGGATTCATCCGGGCATTAAAGGGTCAACGAGGAAAGAGAGGGAAACGACGGAAGCGGGGGAAAAAGAAGAAAAGCATTAGGAAAGGATCAATGGACATTAACGTCGTCAAATAGGTGAGACGAAAACGAAGCCAATGGCACTTAGAAGTGCCATGGTGATATATTGATGAGATGCCGTGGGTATCGTGACCAGGAAAAAGGAAATAAAAGATTTTCCAAGCAGATCATGTCAGTCACTGCTGTCCATCCAGCCTCGGGACATCTCGACAGCCTTGGACCACTTTTTATAAATTCGATTGCTTTCTTCTTCAGGGAGCTTTGGTTCGAACACCGTCTTGTCTGATTGTTTGAGGCCGTCCAGGTTTCGGGGGCCTTCCCAGATCTTGATGGCGATCCCAGCGGCAATTGCCGCTCCCAGCGCTGTTACTTCGTGCATTGCTGGGCGTTTTACAGGTATGCGAATGATATCAGCTTGTGACTGCAGCTGTGCGTTAGCTTGTTACGTCACTTAATGGCCCGAGTCAGAATGATACACGTACTTGCATGCAGACGTTGGAAGTACTTAGGCCGCCGTCCACCCTCAGCTCAGCAAGCTTTTGTCCGCTATCACGTTCCATAGCATCCAAGACGGCCTTGGTTTGAAAACACACTGCTTCTAAAGTTGCTCGGGCGATATGACCCTTCTTAGTATGCTGTGTGATACCAACTAGTCGGTATACTGTTAGTATGACAGCTTTTTTTCTTCTTCCACCGTTGTCCATTTTTGTTTCGTTGACTTAGGGGGGCAAAAAGGGAACTTGAACATACATATTGTTCCTTTTGCGGTATCGATCCAATAAGGAGCGAAAAGACCGCTGAATGCAGTAACGAAGACGCAGCCACCATTATCTTGTACACTGGAAGCCTCGTCATCGACCCTCCTGGCATCTCGGAAGAAGCCCAAGTTATTCATAAGAAAGTTGACGCCGCTACCGGCAACGGCTATGCTACCTTCCAAGGCATATACCGGCTTTGAGTTCGCGCCCAACTGATATCCCACGGTTGCGAGAAGCCCATGAGAGGAGATAACTGGCTTTTCACCAACGTTGTAAAGCAAAAAGCAACCGGTTCCGTAAGTATTTTTAGCCATGCCAGGCTCAAAAGCTTCATGACCTACCAATGCAGCAGACTGGTCACCAAGACAACTCATGATTCGAACGCCTTTGAGAACTCCGGTGGCCAGCTGTCCAAACGCCGTGGGATCTGCAGATGGAACTATTTTTGGTAGTCTCAATTTTGACTGATCTAGGCCGAAAAAGTTGAGTAGCTTGTCATCGTATTTGAGGGTATGTAGGTTAGTGAACATGGTCCGCGACGCATTCGATACATCAGTTACGAATACATTTTTCTCCTTGCCACCATTGAGATTATACAACAGCCAAGTGTCGACAGTACCGAATGCCAGGTTACCAGCATCATAAGCCGTCTTCACCTCTGGTACATTTCGGAGTAACCAGACCAACTTGGCAGACGAAGAGTATGTTGATATGGGCAGACCACATATTTCCTGCAGCTGATCGGCCCCTTTCTCCTTGAACTCTCTGACTATGGACTTGGTACGAGTATCTGGCCAGGCTATAGCATTGTATAGCGGCTTACCGGTCTCCCAGTCCCAAACGACAGTGGTTTCTCGTTGGTTGGTAACTCCAAGAACTTCAATCTCACTGATATCGTGACCACTATTGATAAACGTCTTCGTTGCCTGCTCGATGCACTTTTGCGCAGAGGAAACAATCTCTGCTGGATCTTGTTCATGCCACCTATAAGGAATTCGTTAGCAAGACACTTGGACCGATTGAGAAGAAAGATGGAAGACAAACCCAGGCTGGTCATGTACCCGTCCAAGCTCTGTCTGATGGGAGGCAGCAATGCTTCCCTGCAGGTCAAATATGATGAACCGAGTACTGGTAGTGCCTTGGTCAATGGCTCCTATAAACCTGGACGGCCGCTCCTCCCGGCTGGGTAGGATCGCATTGCGAACGGCAAAAGTGTCTAGTCCGTCTTCAAAGGTATCTGCTAGTCCCTTGACGACCTCTATGGCGCTCTCTCGAAGAGCAGCAAGCGAGTTCTTGGTTGACTTCTCCTCGGCCATGACTCGTATACGAGATCTGTCCTGATCTTGTGGGGGTAAAAGAAACCGGGGAAGCCGTTTACACACCACCAGCGCCACAACCAATAGGTCCACCGGCAGCCAACATCTGTAGTATAGCAGCGAGAGGCGAGTAGAGGGATATGCGGTCGCCGTAGACGGAGCGTGAAGAGGGAATGCTTTATACGGCGAAACCCGGGGAGAAGGTGTTTGTGCGAAGAAGTCTCTGCCTGATCACGCAGTCGCGGGGGGTTGTTGTGGTTCCTGTGGTTCCTGTGGATTAAGCGCCGGCGGGGCGAGCACAGCCCAGAAAACAGGTAGTTCGCCGGCTTTCCGATGCACCGCGGCAGATGACACGATGGTACGATGATGCGGCCATGGCCAGGCTAGGTAGCTATAGGGACAAGTATAGGATGAAAGTGGTGTTGATGCTGCTGCTGCTGATATGAAGGCGAAAGACACCGCCAGCAGAGACGTCGTGAGATCAAGCTCTGCGGTGTTACGGTCTCTGGGCTCAACCACAACATGCAGTGAGATCGGATGCGAGATCCGAAGCAGTAGAAGCGGATGAAGAAAGACGAAGAAGACCCTTGACGGGCGCTACGCTGCGAATCACAGTGACGATCTAGCCGCGCTTGCACAGAATCCGGGGAGGCTGCCCTCGATCCCAGCGCCAGGGGAGCTCGCTATGGTGGCTCTCTGATTTGTCGGGCCGGGCGGCACACAGTCGGACTATTGATTCGGCCTAGGCTGGATGGATGGCATGCAGGATCGGGCAGATGATGTGCAGATGCGCTTGTCGGCTGGCCGGATAGTGCCATACGACTTTTGTGCTTGTGTGAGGCAGGCTATAGCGTTGGTTATATGCGTGGCTGAGGAACAAAGGAAAAGGTTGATATCAAGTAAATAGACGTTTTAGCTACAGGTTTGGTCTAAGAAACAAAGGAAAGTCGACCGTTCAGGCTTTTTGTGAGATTAACTTGTTTTTTTTGTTGATGCGTGTGTGGGTTAATTTACAAGGCACAGGTGAACGGGCTTAGTTTCCAACAAGAGGGGCAGATAGGAAAATAAACGGGGATATGGCGGACAGACGGGCAGGAAAAAGCAAGGAAAGCCGGATTTACTCGGCCTCCTCAGCAGCAGCAGCCTCGGCCTTAGCAAGGTCCTTCTCTCGGGCAGCCTGGAGAGCCTTGATTTTCTCGGTGATGCCGTGCTCGGAGGTGAAGTGGGAAGCAAGCTGCTCTCGGCCGACCAAGCTGCAGACGATGGCGGCGCCGACGACGAAGGTAAGGACGAATCGGTACATGCCGTACCAAGCTGGAACCCACCCCTTGACAGCAGCGCGGGTGTCGTTGTAGTACAGGAAGGTGAAGGCGAAGAACTGGGTGATCAAGGCATACTCAACCGGGAGGAGGAGAGTAGGCCAGGCGACAGCTGGGGCAACGACACCGGTGGCATAGCGGCGGAAACCGTGCTTTCCACCGTATCCAGCCCACTCCATACCCCAGTGGACGGCTCCAAGGAAGGAGAGGATCTATATCTAGTCAGATACCTCTATAATTGTAGTCATAGTTTAGAGAGCATAAATAGAACATACCACAGCGCCGTAGCCAACCTGGATAGGCTCAATGAGGTTCATCATAGCCTGAGCAGTCTCAACAGAGATGTACTGGGTAGTTCCGAGAGTGACGGCGTTGTTCATCTCCCAGGAGAGGAAAACAGTCTGGAGCGAGGTCACGACGTAAGGGACAACACCAGCCAGGCCGTAGTACAAAGCCTCCTTGGGGACACCCTCCAAGCTGAAGGTATCCTTGATAATTTTCTAGAGCAATGTTAGTATCAACACTATAGCTGCCGCTAATCGGAGATATAAGCCGAATATTCAACATACCACATCGTTCTTCACACCAGCCATCATATCAACATCGGGCTCTTCGATCAGAGTCTTCTTAGCCTCCTATTTATTTTTTTTTAAAAAAATATCAATTAGTCTATCTATCAACCTCAAAAATCTAGACCGTTCTAATGGAATTGCAGTATACGGTCACTTACAGTGGAAGAATAGCGGACAAGGGCGGTGGTGACGGGCTGGCGGAAAGGCGAAAGCGCCATGGAGGTTGACCGTGGGCCAGCCCATTGCCTGGCGGAGGTGGTCAACTGGGCCTTGAAAGCAGTGTTGGTCCAGGCACTTCGAGCAATCGAAGCGTTTGAGCTCGATACGGCTCTGAGCACAGAGCGCGCGGCAGCTGTTCGATACAACATGGCGAGGGTCAAAGAACTGTGGTAGTTGGAAGTTGGACGGACTGAAGCGGAAGAAGTCGGCGGGCAAGCGCAGGACGCAGAGATAACCGGCCAGGCAGCGGAGGAAAGCTGTCAAAGCACGATGGAGGAGTGGAGATGGGTGTCCCGTGTGTACTGGTCGTACCCGAGCGATGCAGAGGTGCCAATTGAAGCTGAAGATGTCGCTTTTCCAACACACAATTTGCTCGTCGTCGCTTCAAGTTTGATATCGAAGTCGGGATGTTGACGCTTAGTCAGCGGAGTAAAGACGGACCGCAGTAGCTTAGTAAGCATGATCAAAGCCCGGGCCGTGACCGCCGGCCTGCAAAGTCGCAAGTAAAAAGGACGAGGACCAGGACGACGCCGACGCCGACGAGAGAGGAGATCGAGAGACATGATGGAGGGACGGTGAGGAGAGATGGGCTGTCGGAGGAGAGAAGATGGTCACAGAGGTAAGGGAGAGGAGAGGAGGACCAAGGAGAACAGGAAGAGAGGAGAGCTCGTGGTGCTGTACTAAGCACTATGGGCGACGGTGACCTCGATTGCCTCGCATCGACTCGACCCGGGTATTTGGAGATTCGAAATAATACAGTAACTGGCCCAGCCAAGTGAGAATTCGTGGCGTCAAGGAGGATGTCGAGCAATTGCACCCAGCCGAGTCGTCTGCATCGGGCGTAATGGCAGATATTGATAACTGCCAGCAGCTGTGTAAGCTGCCATCACGCGAGATGCACACGACGGGACGACCGAACAGCACCACGACCGAGCAACACTCGACAAAACCTACAAAAACAGAAAATCTACAGGGAGGAGAGTCCCCTCATCCTCCTTATATATACAATTACTGCATTCTCACCTAGAAAGAGGGTCGATTAAAATGGTATCCAGTAGTGGCGCCACCTTTTGACAGTTTGCCTTATGTCCGGCCATCGACCATTCGCAGCCCTTACATTAGACAGAAAACGGTTGGGAGACGAGACCGCTCCGGCGGATCAGCGTACGGAGTACGGAGAAAAATGCAGGAACTCGTTTACTGCTGGAGACATATCCTTGAAGCAGGCCCATACGCGGTTATCCGACGGTGTTGGTATGATGGGCAACCAACAGGAACAAATCTTGACTCAAAAGCCACGCTATAATGGAAGAGTAGAGTTATGAGAGAGTCGATAACGGATACTCGACAGTAGATCGCCCGTAACTGGGAGATCTGCTTCATGAGCGAAGCAGAAAAGACCACCTGTAGATGATCATAGTGAACCGAATAGACAGCCAGTTTTTGGCTTGTTCAACTTCAATATGCAGTAGCCTAAAAGAGTCGCATCGCCAACTGTAGTTACTGCATCTTCATGCAGGCAGTCTGTCCTGGCGAAGTGTCTCGCCTGCAGTCCTGCCATCTTGCTTGGTCCCCTTAGCAAACAACTCGAGAATCTTTCACGACATACAACATACGTCTCTCGCTGCCATACACTACATAAAAGCACCGAATCGTTTGAGACAAAAGTGAATTTGTCTATTCTCCTGGTCTGCAATTGACTGTGCCGACCCTCACTTTGCGTCAGAGGCTGCCCGGTTTTTCTGTGGTTGACGAGGGGTGCATCACTTAATGACGGTTAGAACTCCAACGACCACCAACTATTCAACCTCGCTGCACTGGTTTTACTGACCTCAAGTCTACTGTTAACAGGAATAAAATCGTTAAATATTGTTGAGTCGCCCATGGTCTCCGAAAACCCATCTCAGTACAGAACCTTGTACCGGGTCGAGACTGCTGTGGTCAGCTGCGTGAATCGGCCATAGCCACGACGCCGCCATGTTAGAAGGGATAGTTGCGAACCTGTTGAACAGGTTCCTGGGGATGTATGTGAAGAACTTCGATGCAGGACAGCTTAATGTCGGTATATGGTCCGGTGATGTCAAACTACGAGACCTGGAACTTCGCCGCGAGGCACTTGACCAACTACATCTACCGCTGAACGTCATCGAGGGCCATCTCGGCGAACTCACGCTCTCTATTCCATGGTCTAATCTTCGAGGGAAGCCCGTGAAAGTGCATATTCAAGATGTGTTCCTCCTTGCGGCGCCGAAGGAGGATTCCACTTACGACCCAGAAGAAGAGAGGAAGAGAGAGCATGCGGTTAAGATGGAGAAGCTTGAAAGTGCTGAGCTTATCAAGGAGCAGAATACCGAGGGTATGAGCCAGGAGGAGCAACAGAAGAACCAGAGCTTTACGCAGAGCTTGATCACTGCCATCGTCAACAATCTCCAGGTGGCTATCAAGAACGTTCATTTTCGTTATGAAGATGCTATTGCTGCTCCTGGGCATCCGTTCGCCGCGGGTGTCACGATCAAGGAACTTAGTGCTGTCAGCACGGATTCAAATTGGAAACCTACCTTTATACAGTCGACATCTACCAGCAATTACAAACTTGCTGTCCTGAACTCTCTGGCAGTCTACTGGAACACAGATGCAGAGCTCTTTGCACCAGACCATGGAGCTTCTGCAGAGTCAGGAGAAGCTGGAGATACTGATGCCCCGATATTCAGCCATGCTGATTTGCTAGAGAAATTCCGAGATGCTGTTGCTACGGGTGAGAACAATCAGTATATTCTCAAGCCTGTCAGCGGCAAAGCTGGTCTGGAATTAGATACCTCTCAGAATGTCGATCATCCGCGAGCCAAAGCTAAATTGATATTCGATGAACTCGGCTTTGTGCTCGATGACCATCAATATCGTGATGTTTTGATGCTAGTCGACCTCTTTCATTACTTCATTCAGCATCGAGAGTATCGAAGCTTGATGCCCGCTTGTCGGCCAAAGGAAGACCCCCGTGCCTGGTTCAGGTTTGCTGGTCAAGCCATTCTCAGTAAAATCCACGAACGAAACCGCAAATGGACTTGGGGCTATATAAAAGAACGGAGGGATAATCGTATCCGGTATATCGAGTTGTTCAAGATGAGAAAGAGAGAGGACCCCATGTCACCTGCGGAGACGGAGGAGATGAAAGCTCTTGAAGAGAAATTGTCGTACGAAGATCTGCGGTTTTGGCGGTCCCTTGCTAGAAACCAGCTGAGAAAAGAGAGGATTGAGTGCCCAAAGAAGGTCGTCAGACAGCAGACCTGGTCCGAGTGGATATGGGGAACGAGTCCAAAGGAGGAAGACCAGCCCACGTCCATGACGGACGAACAACGACAGGAACTGTATCAAGCTATAGACTGGGATGAGAAGAAAGCTATAGCTGATGCGGTTGATCTCCCCCGAGACTCCGTCAAGTTCCAGGTAGACTCAAGCCTCCGAGCTGGCAGCTTCACCTTAAAGCGAGATCCTCATGGCAAGGCGGATGAGATATTAAAGCTGGTCTTTGAGAACTTCCAGGCAAAGGCACTACAGCGGCCGGATTCGTTCTTGGTCCAGGTTGATCTCGGTGGGTTACGGCTGTTCGATCATACCACGGACAACACTGCCTTCCCTCAGATTGTCCGTGTTAAAGATAGCTATTCCATGCCAAGCGAGAATGTTGAAGAGATTACTGAAATGGATATACCCGAATCCCCTGACGTTGAAACGATAGACCGTGAGAACGACGATAGCCTGTTCTATCTCCAGTTTGAGTCAAACCCCCTAGATGGGAGCGCGGATTCTGCTCTTCGCATGAAACTCAAAAGTCTTGAAGTTATATATACCCGAAGGTATTAGTTGAGATCGTCAAGTTCTTCCGCCCTCCGGAACGACATATGGAATCCATCGGTGCTCTCCTAGAAACTGCGGGAGCAACCGTTGCCGAAATACGTCAGCAGACAAGGGCTGGGCTGGAGTTTGCCCTTGAAGAGCACAAGACCATTAACGCCCAGCTGGACATCCAGGCTCCACTTATTATTATACCCGAGAGCATCACTACAGGTGATAGTATGTGTCTCATCTTTGATGCCGGTAGAGTTAGTGTGATCAGCAAGCTGGTCGACAAGGAGACTCTGAAGATGGTTCAAAGCAAGCAAGGCACTGAAATCGGCGACGATGACCTCAGCCGACTTGAATCCTTGATGTATGACAAGTTCTTGCTAAAGCTCGATTCAACACAAGTTCTTATTGGGAAAGGCATTGAAGCAACCAAGGCTGAGCTAGATCCAAAAACGGAATCGAAGAACCTGCATATCATGGACCGGATCAATATGGACTTTGTGCTTGAGTTATGCATCGCCCCCAAGTCAACACTCACCAGGACACGGATATCAGGCCATCTTCCAGAATTTCACGCCTCTATGTCGGATACGAAATACAAAAATCTCATGAGATTGATTGACATTGCCATCCCGAGATTCGACACCGATGAGTCGTCCACCAACTCAGCGGAGAAAGTCGCACAACCAGAAACTACGTCAGTTGAAAGCAGAGCCAGGTCGCAGTCAATTCAATTTCCTCGACAAAAAGATGTACCTGTTTTACAGTCGGAAAACGACATCGCAGGCCCCGATGATAAGAAATCAGCAGAATCGAAGACTCCTAAAAACATACATCGACGTATGTTTGAATTCAAGTTTACCGTGGATACCCTGAGGGGCTCATTGTATCGATCTGACCCCAGCGATGAAAGAAAAGATAGACTGCTGGTTGAACTGGTGGCTGAACACTTCCAACTCGACTATAATCTAAGAGAATATGACATGGCTGCTGACATTGTTCTGAAATCTTTGAGTATTGAAGATTATATTGAAGAGCATTCGTCTGCCCCTGAATTCAAGAAAATCGTCACATCCAGGGGCTTCGATGCAAATGAAGAGAAGGACTTGTTCACTCTAAAATTTATCAGAGTTAATCCCAGCTCTCCCGAATTCGTTTCAGTGTATGATGGCGTTGAAATGAACCTCGACCTAGTAGTGTCGACCATTAATCTGATTGTTACCCGGAAGACATTGCTTACCCTATTGGATTTCATTTTAATTACTTTCACCAACCAGAATCCACAGGACCAAGTTCAAAGCTCTCATGAACAAGCCGCCTCCAATGACTTAAAGGAAGCTCCGAAGCCAGCTAATACAGGGAAAATTCGAATCAGCTCAAAGTTAGAGAGGATTTCCCTTATCTTGAATGACGATGGCATTCGTCTAGCCACCCTCAGTCTGAATACTGCGGATGTTGGAATATTCCTTGCCAATGAAACAATGCAGATCAAATCGAGAATGGGCAGTCTGACCTTATTCGATGATATCAATGAAAATGGCAAGTCGTCAACAGTCCGTCGGCTTATGAGTATTGAAGGGGATGATTTCGCGGATTTCCGCTACCAAACTTTCAACCCGAAACTTAAAGACTATCCTGGTTACGATTCAGAGGTAGCTTTGCGATCTGGTTCGATCAAAATAAACTTCATCGACGAGCCGTACCGAAGGGTTATTAATTTCCTAGTTAAGTTTGGGAAGATGCAAAGTATATTCAATGCAGCCCGTCAGGCCGCAGCCAACCAAGCTACACAAATCCAAGAAAGCTCATCACTGATGCATTTTGATATTATGGTCAAGACACCCATCCTGGTGTTTCCCCGAATAACCGACCGAGACGGACCTCGAGATTTCATCACCGCTCATTTGGGAGAGATATATGCTAGCAACGAGTTTTCTCAAGCTGACCATGGTGAAGCAAAATACCTGGTTAACACCATCACCGCTGGAATCCGTCATATCCGCCTCACTTCTACCTTCTACTACTCGGAAGATGTCTGTGAAGAATTGGAGATGATTGAGAAGGTGGATATGGATTTCAATATCAAATATGTTCAAGAACCCATTGACAATTCCATACCTGTTATGCGTGTCGATGGCTCTATGTCACCCACCAATCTTCGGATTTCGCAAATGCAGCTTAAATTCCTCCTTGAGCTATCCCAAACCATCCCTGCTGCGTTTTCACCCGACCAAGAACTTCAAGAAGGACAAGCCCAACAGGCCCTACCCGAACTATCTGCGGGGTTAAGTACAGCCGCTAGTTCAGACAAATCCAACGAGTCCAAGTCACTCACGGACGGACCCGGTAAAAATGCCGCAGAGCCTAAAAAGTCAATTCAACTCGAATTAGGATTCCGCGTGGAAACTATTGGGTTAGAACTGCTCCTTGTGAACGAGGAGGCTCCGGTTCAATCTCTCGATGATGTTAGCTTGTCTAAGTTCTTCTTGAGCAATACCAACGTGAAGCTCCGGATGTTGAACAATGGATCCCTCGAGTCTGAACTGCTTATTCACTCCTTTAATGTACGAGACAGCAGATCAAAGGAGACAAACCGGTTCCGTAAGATTATGTCCCTGGTTAATACCGAAGTTCAGCAGCAGTTTATGGCCAGTCTTTCTATGTCCGGTGGTACCGATCGCCAATTAGTGGTGATGGTAACAATCGATAGCCCGCGTATTATATTCGCTGTCGATTATCTGTTCTCTCTCAAATCATTTGCAGCAGCGGCATTCCCTGCTGAGCCAGATACAGATGCTTCGGAAAGCTCAGATGAAGAGTCCTCGGGCCCGGCTGTGTCGCGTGACAACCTGCCGTCCAAACCAACGACTATTCCTTCAAGCGCTATGACAGCAGAAAACAAATCTTCCCTTACAATGTCCTTCAGATTCAACATGGTTGATTCTCAAGTCATCCTGGTCGCTAACCCAACGATTGCGAACACAGAAGCTATCGTCCTGGGGGCTAAACAAATCGTCTATTCCCAGCAGAATGCGTCAACTCTTCAAATCACCAAGGTCGGCATGTTCCTTTGCCGTATGGATAAATTTGAGACCAGCAGACTGCGTATTCTGGATGACTTTTCGCTAGAATTATCCATGGATACTCAGAGTAAGAGCAAAAGTTTCTCTACCACCAGGATTGACATGCATGTGGAGCCATTGATTCTTCGGTTGTCGCCACGAGATATCCTCCTTGCTCTGCAGATAATGAACAGAGTATCTGAGATGACTTCACCGACACAACCTCAGAATGCAGCAAGCGAGTCGAAAGCCATTGCTGCTAAACCCACACAGGCAGACCTACAGTCGCCAAGTACCCCTGTTCAATCTCGATTGACTGCAGCAGATAGAATTCAACAGTCATCCATAGTGAAGAAGGAAGAAATGTCCATTCAAATGGATGGTATTAGAGTTATACTGATTGGTGATGTACACATACTTCCCTTGCTTGACTGGAGTGTGCAGTCATTCCGAGTCGATGTTAGAGACTGGTCTGCGAATATGAGTGCTGATACCACTTTCGACACCTTCATCAACGTTTACAATTTCTCGAAGTCCACTTGGGAGCCGTTGATTGAACCATGGCAACTTGGATTCCATATGTCGAAAGAACTAAGCCCTGACATATTCTCTATTGATGCCTACTCCCATAAGAACATGGAGTTAACAGTCACATCTGCAACAATTGCTTTGGCGTCTAAAACAATGCAATTCTTGTCTGCGGATGAGGACGTTCTTTCAAAGCCCAGAGGTACAGATACTCCTTATCGAATCCGAAACTATACTGGCTTTGAATTGCGAGTATGGGCAGACACTGGCAACGGAGAGGAAGGGCATGCCTGTACTCTTGAAGACGGTGAAGAATACCCCTGGAGGTTTGAAGACCCAACTACTATGCGAGAGAACCTTACTCCGGAGGGCAACGCTGGTACGGTAGGAATTAAGCTTGAGGGCAGTGGATTCGATAGCATCAGCCGCATCCCCCTCATCCGTGAAGGGGAAACACTTTATAATCTGAAGCCAAAGAAAGATAAAGTGCTACATAAGCTATTGGTGGAAGTCAGCTTGGGGACAGATTATGTCAAGTATATCACCTTCAGATCCCCCCTTGTGGTGGAGAATAAGACACAGATACCCGTTGAGGTTGGGGTATATAGCCCCGAAGAGGGACATCTTCTTAAGATTGAAAAAATACTTCCAGGTGATTCACGTCCAGCACCAGTGGGTGCCGCCTACCTACATTCTCTCGTCGTGCGCCCAGATCAAGGCTTCGGGTACAATTGGTCAAACGAGAGGCTCTTCTGGAAAGATTTGCTGAGACGACCGACCAGAACCCTCAAATGTCAGAGTGAGAATGGACAGCAATCTCCACCATTCTACTTCCAGATGAATGCCACTTTTGACAAGAATGATCCTCTTCTGTCCGTATATCCGTACATGCGGGTCCGTGTCTCTGCTCCCATTGAAATCCAAAACTTACTTCCATATGACTTCAAGTACCGCATATATGACAAAAACTTGAAGAAAGATTGGACGAACTTCCTTAGAAAAGGAGGAGTGAGTCCGGTCCATGTCGTGGAGCTTTCTCATGTACTCCTCCTAAGTATTGACATGCAGGATACCGCATTCAGGCAATGCGAGTTTGCAATAGTCAATGGGAATGTCCAAGAGGATTTCAGGAGAGAGTCTACCCTTACTGTCCAAGATGATCAAGGCCAAGAACTGAAACTAGGCCTTCACTACTTTACCGTTCCCGATAGTGGTGGTGCCTTTAAGGTCTCTGTGTTCAGTCCCTATCTTGTTCTGAACAAAACCGGACTCGATCTCAATATACAAAGCAAAGGCGTCTTCCACGGAGGCAGGTCTGCAGCGGGCCGGGCTATAAAAACAGACGCAATGAATGGAGTCCGTTCTGCAATTCCTTATATGTATTCTTATCCAACAGACGACCGTAAGAACCGGTCCGTCTTGAGGGTCAATGGCTCTTCGTGGAGCAAGCCCCAGAGCTTCGAAGCCATAGGAAGCAGTTTCGAGGTTACTTTACCAGGTTCCAACGGCCGAACCGAGTATCACGCAGGCGTGACGGTAGAAGAGGGGACTGGTAAATACAAAGTCACTAAAATCGTCACAGTGTCCCCTAGATTCATACTCGAGAACAGGTTGGATGAAGAATTGGTTGCTCGTGAGCCAGGTTCTTCCAATGTTATCTCTCTAAAGCCTCGTGAACTTGTTCCGCTGCATTTCCTCAGGCAGGCAGCTGAAAAACAGCTTTGCTTCTGCTTCCCTGGTGTTAATAATCAGTGGTCCTCCTTGTTCAACATTGCTGACCTAGGAATAACTTATGTGAAATTGGCAAAGGCAAACCAGCGCCAGAGATTACTCAAAGTCGAAGTGCTTATGGAAGGTGCTACGATATTCTTACGCATTAGTATGGAGGCGGTGCACTGGCCGTATTCTATGAAGAATGAATCGGATGCAGAATTCATATTCTTCCAAGCGGTATGACGCTAACCCCCGGAACCGTTTATCAATATCAAACTAACCAGTTTTAGAATCCAAACGTTAGCGAGGATGAAGATGATCGTAGCACTACCTGGCGGCCTATCCGTTACCGTCTTCCGCCCCGTAGTATTATGCCCTACGCATGGGATTATCCTGCCGCGAAAAACAAGTCTCTTGTTCTGCTATGTCGAGGAAAGGAAAGGTACATCAAACTCGCTGAGATGGGCAACTTGATACCAATGAAGCTCCCGCCAACCCAGGATTTGCCCCAAAAGATTATTGATATCCGCATTGAAGCGGAAGGTCCTACACAAACTCTTGTCTTATCCAATTTCCGACCATCAAGAAGTGTATATAGGCAGCAAAAGCCTGCCTCTTCTCAAACCAGTGTGTCCACTGGATTCGAGGTCAAGGAAATCAACTCGGACATAACGTTCAAAGCCCAACTTCGATTAAACGGTATCGGGATTTCCTTGGTCAACCAGAACTTGAGGGAGCTCGTGTATATCACTTTCCGCGAGATAGATCTCAAGCTCAGCGAATCTAAGATCTACCAGACGGTCAACACCACTATCAAGTGGATACAAGTTGATAATCAATTATATGGCGGAATATTCCCAATTCTTCTATACCCAAGCGTTGTCCCGAAAACTGGTAGGGAGATGGAGGCGCATCCAATTTTCACAGCTACGGTTACCCGGGTTAAAGATGACTCATACGGAGTCTTGTATGTGAAGTATGCTTCACTGCTTGTTCAGCAGATGACTCTTGAACTCGATGAAGACTTCATTTTTGCCCTCCTCGACTTTGTGAAGGTTCCAGGCGCCTCTTGGTCCGAGGAACGTGAGGACCCCATTTGTGAGGCTGAACTTGGTATTCCGGAACCAAAACACGAAGCACAAGGACAGGACGTGTATTTTGAGGTCCTTCACTTGCATCCTATGCAGCTTGATCTGTCCTTCGTTCGTACAGAACGAGTCAATGTTGAGGATACGACAGAGTCGTCTAACCCATTGATGTTCTTCGTCAACGTCATGACTATGTCAATAGGTAACGTTAATGATGCTCCGGTTAGATTAAACGCACTGCTTCTGGAGAACGCAAGAGTATCTATCCCGATGCTTGTTTCGAATATCACAAACCACTATACTCAGGAATTCCTTCGTCAGGTCCACGTTGTTATCGGCTCTGCGGATTTCCTAGGTAATCCCGTTGGTTTGTTTAACACCGTGAGTTCCGGAGTTGCCGATATATTCTATGAGCCATATCAAGGGTTCGTTATGTCCGACAGACCTCAGGAGCTAGGCCTCGGAATTGCCAAGGGTGCCACTTCATTCGTCAAGAAGTCGGTGTTTGGAATTACGGATAGTCTTACAAAGTTCACGGGAAGTGTCTCCAAAGGTCTCGCTGCCGCAACACTGGATAAAGAGTTTCAGGATCAACGAAGGATGTCTAGAGCCCGAAATAGACCAAAGCATGCTCTTTACGGAGTGACTGCAGGAGGCAGTGCTTTTGCCACCAGCATGGCAAGTGGAATTGGTGGTCTTGCGCGTCATCCACTGGAGGGTGCTGAAAAAGAAGGATTCCAAGGTTTTGTTAAAGGTGTCGGGAAGGGCTTCTTAGGACTTGCAACAAAGCCAGCACTCGGTGCTTTTGATCTAGCTTCCAGTAAGTACTCACTCAGCTCTCTCTCACACTCACTCTCTCTCTCTCTTCTTTTTTTCTCTCTCTCTCTCTATTGAACACACTTATCTAACTTTAACGCAGATCTTGCTGAAGGAGTAAGAAATACGACTACAGTTTTCGATGCCGGGGGCCTTGACCGAGTTCGTTTAACTCGCTTTATTGGTCGAACTGGAATTGTCAAACCGTATTCTCAGCGAGAAGCACTAGGCCAATTCTGGCTCAAAACGACGGACGATGGCAAATACTTCAACGAGGAATATATTGCTCATCTGGAGTTCCCTGGAAAAGATATGCTTGTGTTATTGACATATAATCGAATTATGCTTGTCCGATCAAAGCGTCTCACAACAGAATGGGACATCAAATTGACCGATATTCAAAAGATATCGAAGGAGAGAACGGGAATGACCATAACGCTAAAGGGCGGCACCAACGGACCATTCATACCGGTACAAGATGAGAGTGGAAGAAACTGGTTCTACAAACAAATTGCTATTGGTATGTTTACTTATCATCGTTTCTCCCGGCAAGTTGAGCATATTCAGTAACTAATCCCTGGTTGATAGCTGTCAACGCATTTAATGAGAAGTATAGTGCCAAGGGATAGCGTCTGCCAACTGTTTCTAAGGTACGGAAATGAGAGATGCAAAAAAATAACATGCATGGGGAACCCACTATTCTTATATACATCCAATGTCCTTTCATATTCTTTAGCTACATTCATCTTGTGTATTGGTAATGCTAATTGCTATGATTAATCTTTATGGGGCACTTTTCTCGGTTATGGCAAAAGGTTATTAATATAAATGGCACTTTACGATTCTGTGTACAGTTAACACAATAAAAATTAGACTACCCTAGCTAGACGTTTGATTTTCTGGACTATATATGTTCCGCATTTCCGCAGAGTAGGTGCTCAAGTAATACGGCTTCAGGAGGTCTCAAGACGGGACGTACGACAAGCCTCCTCCACTGCCAAGACCGCGTCCGCCCTGTTGGGTGCGGCAACGTGCCGCTCCCGCCTTCCCGCTCTCACGAGGAGCTTAGGCACTCCATATTTCGACCACTTGCTTTTCCTCTAGCGTTATTTGCCGCCTTCGGATATCCTTGGACACAACTAGGCTGCTGTAGGCTAGCAGGCTTTGATAGACAAAGGACTTGTGTTGATCATGCGCTAGTTATTTATAATTTTTTAAAGTGATTTATACGACCGCCTTGACCATTTAGAGGTATATGCAACTGGGAAGCAGTACTCTAGTACGGAGTGCTCTGTAGTTAGTTGCTCTTCGGCTCACAGTTAAATCTGATCATATATTGTGAAAAGTAGCGTAAACGGTAAACAAATACACTATTACGGAGTACGGAGTACAGAGTACGTGGACGTGTTGCTCCTCATTTCAGTCAACGAATTAAACAAGGTGCAACCCCCCGAGCTTTATTAAAGTCTGCATTCCACATTGAACCTACTTTGAGGCCTTTGACAGCTAATCTTCTAGAGATATGCAATAAAGGCTATATCGTTGGCTATATGATTCAATCGGCAGTCACAATTGCCGGGAAGGCCTGCTGCTGCTTTACAAGGTTGTTCACCTCCTGGCGGTGTAACTGTTTGATATCGTTACCCACACAGGGCAAGCCCATGACCTGCGGGGTTACTTATATGGGCCACAATGCAGGCGTGGGGGGTTGGATCGAATCAAGCAACAAGCTTAGGTATGATTTGCAGAAGAAGGGTCGGGAATGTACTTCGGACAGGCGAGGAGGGCACTTCTGTCAAATATTGACTTGCTCAAATAGGATGGATCTCGCTAGTGCGCAAGCTCCCCCAACTGGCAGGCCTACGGGAGTATATACTTTTGTATATCCCAGCTTAAACTTCGCGTGAAGTAGCTCGACATTCCGAGTATTCTCTGGTCCAATAGCTATGAGGTGGAGTGGATGTCGACTATTACATACATGGAGACCACTGACACCTTGACGGAGAATACGGAGCTGGCTCCCCGTGATACAGGACCATGTCTGACTCACGGGGAATGTTGCTCCGTGATGGGGCTAAAGCCGCTGCAACCAGCGATCTGCCAACAGCTGGTAATTCAACAAGCCAAATATTCACAGCTGTCAGTCCACGAGGCCATGCATTGGAAGTGTAGTCATAAATAGGGCGTCAAGAAAGATACTTGGCTGCTTGTCATCAGCTGCATATTCAGGAGGTCAAATCCAACGTGTCCAGGAAGGTTTTGATATTAAAGGGCGTCCATTGCCGATCAGGTGATCGGCTACGGCATCCATGTAACAATACTTTGGATGTCCACGGCAACGGCTGACCCCGTCATCGCGACAGAGCCGTTTTAACTCTGCAGGCCTCCTTGTCCAGCTGATATATGAGGTTTTAAAAGGCCAATTACTAGGCCAGACGAAGACCAGGGACAAAAAACTCTGCCACGATACAAAACAAGATCGAAGTTTCAAAGCAGAAAAAAACAACGAAAAAACAACAAAAACAAAAAATCGGAGGCACTGCCACTTGGAACAATTAATGGACCAATAAGAAGCTGCAGCAATCCGCAAGGTCCGCCAATAAACATCGGCTAATGTAATCATGCAGAAAGAGAGATCTGTACGGGCGATACTGCGTTACACGCTAGTCCTCTTTGGGCCTGGAGTTGTTGCACCCAGGTCTCATCATGGGCAGGCGATTATTGGCTGGCAGCCGTAATATGTCAGCAGACTGCCCCAGCCCCGGGCGTATCGTACGGTAACCGCCGCCACTGCCCGAGCTAAAGGCGGCATGTAATTAATATCCGGCCCAGTTTCTGCCGGCTTACTTAATCATATTACGGCCCTTTACCCGATCGGGAAGGCTTGCTGTCCTATTTTTCTCTTCGTCTTTTCCGCCGGCTCCAACTTCGACCTCAATCGTCTTTCTCTCGCAACGTCCGTCTTGACTCTGCCTGCTTTTGTCTCGCGATATCCTGCATTCGTGCTTCATTCTCGCCTTGTCTGCGAGCAATTGACTGGTTCTACCCGTATGTATCCTCGTCTGTCTTTCCCCTGCAAGCCAGCCCCCTTTTAGCTGCCCGGAGTAGCTGTGTCGTGTGAGTCTATGGGAGGTTGTATGCAGCTCATGAGCTGATCTATTGATTGTTGCTTTTTCTGCGATGCCGTCCGAGCCTCTTTTGCTCGTTCAGCCCATATTCTCCCCCTAGTACTCGCTGAGATCTGTTCTATTACTTTTTCTTCCCTCTTTCTCTGTTGTTTTCTGAATCTTAACTAACGAAAGAATCCAAAAAGCAGATCCTGAATTATACCTACACCTGTCTCTCTTGAATTAAGGGAGACGTTCTGATGACCTCGAGTTCGTGTGAGGCGGAACGGCAGATATAGTCGATAATTCCAGCCTCTTTCGACATCCATTATATACTCCGATACTTTTGGTGTCCTCTTTGGCTGGTCGTATTTGAACTTCTTTTTGCATCCCTTTGAAACGCGGCTGAAACGTCGATAAAAAAAATTACTAGATCGGGCGGTCCAGAAAATAATATCTTATAGGTATGAAGAAACAAAGCAGAAGAGCCCTTGGTATATTATTATAGACAGATGGGCTAACCGGCACTTCTTCTCATTAGAACGTCTTTTTTTCCTTTTCATTTTCTAATATATTTGTGAATATGTTTCGAACAACAAGAGCTGTGACGCTGAAGGCGTCCGGAGCTTCTTCCCTTCTCCGGCAATCGTATACTCGCTCGATATGTTCTGGAGCAAGGTCAAATCTTCAGCTGACAGCCCGGAAACCTCTGGGTGTTGTCTGTGCCAGAAAAGCCTGGGAGCAGACCAGGGGTTACGCCGTTGCGACTGGCGAGACCAGCAAAGGAGTGGTTCGTACAGGCTTTCTATTGACATTGGAAAAAATTACTTTTTGAACTAATTAGCTTGTGTACATAGGACCCAAATGACTCTTTCCTCCAGGGCAACACCGCCAACTACATCGATGAGATGTACATGGCCTGGAAGGAGGACCCTCAAAGCGTCCACGTTTCATGGCGTACCTACTTCCACAACATGGAAGAGGGTAAGATGCCCATCTCGCAAGCCTTCCAGCCTCCACCCACCATTGTCCCTACTCCTACAGGCGGTGTCCCTCAGCATATGCCTGGAAACGCAGCCGGAACAAACGTCTCCAATCACTTGAAGGTCCAGCTTCTTGTCCGCGCGTATCAGGCTCGTGGACACCATAAGGCAAAGATTGACCCTCTCGGCATTCGCGGGGAGGCTGATTCTTTTGGATACAGCAAGCCAAAGGAACTCGAGCTGTCCCACTATGGCTTCACTGAGAAGGACCTTGACGAGGAATTTGCTCTTGGCCCAGGAATCCTCCCTCGCTTCGAGACTGAGACCCGCAAGAAGATGACTCTTCGTGAGATTATTGATGCCTGCGAAAAGATCTACTGTGGCTCTTTCGGCGTGGAATACATCCACATTCCTGACCGCGTTCCTTGTGACTGGATCCGTGACCGTATTGAAATTCCCCAGCCATACAAGTACTCTGTCGATGAGAAGCGTCGCATTCTGGACCGTCTTATCTGGAGTTCCAGCTTCGAAGCGTTTTTGGCCACCAAATTCCCCAATGACAAGCGCTTCGGTCTGGAAGGCTGTGAGACCCTGGTACCCGGTATGAAGGCATTGATTGACCGAAGTGTCGACTACGGTGTCAAGGATATTGTTATCGGTATGCCTCACCGTGGTCGATTGAACGTCCTCAGCAACGTCGTTCGTAAGCCCAATGAGTCTATCTTCAGTGAGTTCAGCGGTAGCGCCGAACCATCTGATGAGGGCTCAGGTGATGTCAAGTACCATCTTGGTATGAACTTCGAGCGCCCAACTCCCTCTGGAAAGCGTGTTCAGCTTTCACTCGTTGCCAACCCCTCTCATTTGGAAGCCGAAGACCCAGTTGTCCTTGGAAAGACTCGCTCCATCCAGCACTACAACAATGACGAAAAAGAATTCAACACTGCCATGGGTGTTCTTCTTCACGGTGATGCCGCATTCGCTGCCCAGGGTATCGTTTACGAGACCATGGGTTTCCATTCGCTACCTGCCTACTCCACTGGAGGAACCATCCATATTGTCGTTAACAACCAGATCGGCTTCACCACTGACCCCCGTTTTGCCCGATCCACCCCTTACTGCTCTGATATCGCCAAGGCCATCGATGCTCCAGTCTTCCACGTGAACGGTGATGACGTCGAAGCTCTTAACCACGTCTGCCAGTTGGCCGCCGACTGGCGTGCCCAGTTCAAGAGTGATGTTGTCATTGACATCGTTTGCTACCGTAAGCAAGGCCACAACGAAACCGATCAGCCCGCCTTTACTCAGCCTCTTATGTACAAGCGCATTGCCTCCCAACAGAGCCAGATCGATAAGTACGTTGAGAAGCTCCTAAAGGAGAAGACATTCACCAAGGAGGATATTGATGAACACAAGAAATGGGTCTGGGGAATGCTCAACGACAGCTTCGAGCGCAGCAAAGACTACACCCCAACCAGTCGAGAGTGGCTCACTTCCGCCTGGAACGGATTCAAGACCCCCAAGGAGCTTGCCACTGAGGTCCTCGGTCACCCTCCTACTGGCGTTGAAGCAGAGACCCTCCAGATGATTGGTGCTAAGCTTGGAAGCATTCCTGAGAACTTTACTCCACACCGCAACCTAAAGCGTATCTTGGCCAACCGGGAGAAATCCATTAAGGAAGGCCAAAATATCGACTGGTCCACTGCTGAAGCTCTTGCTTTCGGTACCTTGTGTAAGGAGGGCCACCACGTCCGCGTTTCTGGCCAGGATGTTGAGCGTGGCACGTTCTCTCAGCGTCACGCCGTCCTCCACGACCAAGAGAACGAGAGCACATACACTGCTCTCCAGCACATCAGCCCCGACCAAGGATCCTTTGTCATTTCCAACTCCTCCCTCAGTGAATATGGAGCGTAAGTTCCCCTTATTCCGATCTCTGTTGTTATCAGGCTAACTGTTTTTTCCAGTCTCGGCTTCGAATACGGTTACTCGCTAACCTCTCCTAACGCTCTTGTCATGTGGGAAGCTCAGTTCGGTGACTTCGCCAACAACGCCCAATGTATCATTGATCAGTTCATTGCCTCCGGTGAATCGAAATGGGTTCAGCGATCTGGTCTCGTCATGTCTTTGCCCCATGGATATGATGGCCAGGGCCCTGAGCACTCTTCCGGCAGACTGGAACGTTACCTCCAGCTTTGCAACGAGGATCCTCGCGTTTACCCAGCCGCCGACAAGATTGACAGACAACATCAGGACTGCAACATGCAGATTGCCTACATGACCTCCCCCGCCAACTTGTTCCACATCCTCCGTCGACAGATCAACCGTCAATTCCGAAAACGTAAGCTTATTTTTGTCCTGATTATTTTAAATATATTAGGCAAGTACTAACTGTCTTTAATAGCATTGATCATTTTCTTCTCGAAATCCCTTCTCCGTCACCCAAGCTGCCGATCCTCCATCGAGGAGTTCACTGGCGATTCCCATTTCCGCTGGATTATCCCCGATGACCAACATGGCAAACAGATTGATGAGCCTGAGAAAATCGAGCGTGTGATTATGTGCTCCGGTCAAGTTTGGGCTGCCCTCACCAAGCACCGTGAGGCCAACGGTATCAGGAACACTGCCATCACCCGTATCGAACAAATGCACCCCTTCCCCTGGCAACAGCTGAAGGAGAACCTCGACAGCTACCCCAATGCCAAGGACATTGTCTTCTGTCAAGAGGAGCCTCTCAACGCCGGAAGCTGGAGCTACATGCAGCCCCGCATTGAGACCCTTCTCAACGAGACTGTCCACCACAACAGGCGCCATGTCCTGTACGCCGGTCGTAACCCAAGCGCTAGTGTGGCCACTGGCTTGAAGAGCAGTCACATCAAGGAAGAGCAAGATCTATTGCACGACGCTTTCACCGTTCACCAGGAAAAGCTCAAGGGCGAGTAGATCGCACAAGAAATTAAACAGAAAGCAGATGGGAGCTGAAGTGTCTCCCATTGAAGATAGCATTTCTACATGCATGAGTGTGATGGCCTTTCATTTGTCCTTTTCACAACCACCTTTGTTTCCATAGTGTATAAATCCGAATAATTTTCTTTCATCGCATTCATTCCGTCCTTTGTTATCGATGTTCTTCCTTTATTTAAATTCTTATACAAAGCCCGAAGCTAGAGTTCGTGCTGACTAAACATCACTGCTTAGCTAACAATACGTCATCAACAGCAGCGCAAGATACGCTTCAATTTACTATCCCTTCACCATCAGCGGCCACGTTCAATGTTATTTGATAGAAGATTTATGTCATAATGCATAGCACTCATTTCTACATCTAGAAGCTATCCAGTGCAAAATAATTGAAAATGACAATAAGCAGGCTATTTTTAACCACAAACCTTGTTTTAATTATATAAGCACACTTGTATCACGCTAAACCCGAATAGGCTCCACTGCGGAAAGCTTCAAAGTCACGCTTCTTTTTTGCGTCTTCGTCGGCTTCTTCGACTTCACGACTTCACGACTTCATCTTTACAACTTGGCCAGGCAGCAGGGCTTTTGCTGCGCTTTTCCTCCGCTTAGAAAGCTGTTTCGGGGCGTAGCCTTGACCCCAGATTCGTTTCTGCGTCAAGACAGCCCTAGTTATCTACCGTTCCGCTACCGCAAGCGCAGTTTGTTCACACTCTCTCGCAATGGCGTCGAGCAGCATGCCTACCGGCGGCAATGCCAGCAACATACGCCAAACCTCTCGTCAAACCCGAACGAACCCTTCTAGACAGTCCAAGACCGCTGGCCGCACGTCGCTTATCGGTGGACTTACCGGTGGCCCCTCCAGCCTCGGGGGAGGACATGGAGCCGGTGGTTCTGTCCACGGCAACTCGGTACCAGCGGGGATCTATCCGGGAATCACTCACTTTAGCGATGCTATCGATGCACTTCCTAGAGAGTTCCGGAGACATAATTCGTTACTGAACGAGGTTGATGGCAAAGCGTGGGCGCTGGAGGAGCAGCTGTCCAAATTGCTCACTACCGCAACGAAGCTGATCTCCGTAGACTACGATGCTCCCAGACCGAAGCAGGTACGCTTTCAACTCTCCAGTGCCTTCTGTTAACCATTCTGAACACATCTGGCGAGCTCAAGATGGCTTGCTAACTGAATCTCACCTTAGGTCGATGTCACACCAACGAGACAGGTTTTTCAGAGCATCCGTTCTACTCTCGGCGACCTCCTAGGAACCATCGATGAAAAGAATCATGTTGCACGCAACGCAAATGCGACACTCCAACGAGATGTTAGCCGACTTGATGCTATTTACCCGCATGTACAGCGAGAAGTGAGTGATGAGGCTCGGCTTGGGAGTTTAACGCACTGGGCATATATCAACAAACCTACGCCGAAAACAAGTGCTAGTGCTGTCAATGAACGCCCTAGGAGAGATACTGCAGGTGCAAACAGCCATAGAGCCGCCCACGGAGATGCGGATAACGAACCAAAGAAAGAGCCAGTTCGCCGACAGCGTCGAACCCAAGCAGAGATTGAAGCAGATGAGGCTCGAGGCATTACCGTACGAAGAGGCAAGCCAGGGCCGAAAAGTAAAATTGCAGACAACCAATCGAGTGAGCAGGCTTTAACTGCTGGGGGTGCCACCGGGATTGTGACTGCGAAACGCCGAAAGGTAGAGCATACTCAATCTATGGCAGCAACAGCTATGGAGCGATCCGCGAGTAATGCAACAAATGCTGGTGGCCGAGCCGGATCAAAAGAGAGTCCTGCGCCGGATGCTGTGAAAAAGAGAACAAGGGCTCCTAATGCTAATTCGGCCGCACGAAAAAGGTACGTTTATCCTGCCTGGAAATCATCATATTCCTGCACCAATATCTGGGGAAGAGCTAGATGCCTTTGCGTCTACTCCTGCTTCCATAATGCAAAAGGGGCTTACTTCCTTCCAGTCACCAGCATATACCTCTTGTTGAAAGCGCGCCATTACCATGAAGAAATTCGAACTAACATATTATTTTTTAAAGTAGAACGAATACTGTATCATCGAACGCGGGCTCTTCATCCGTTTCCGGTGCATTGAACGTCTCTCAGCTCGGCCACACTTCCAACAGTCCTGCACCAGCATCTTCCCTTCGCGCTCAATCACGACCACAACAGAATCAGACTCCAGCTTCTCGCCAACGGCCGTCTTCGTCTGCTTCAAATCGCAACCCTAGTATGTTTTCTAGAGCTTACAAAGTATTCTCTTCGATGATACATTATCTGACACTATAATGATAGAAAAAGACCTGTTAGATGCCAGACCTCCATCCGCGAAAGGTGCAGCGAGTCCCAGAATTGACACATTAGCAAGCAGATCAAATGGAGATAGCATTAGAAACAGCCCAAAGACAGCTGCCCTTGAGCTCAAACATGAAGACGCTAGCTCCATGGGTCCTGTAGGAACCTCTAGCCACATGCATGATGGTAAAGCGGACTACTCGAACCTCCCAGAACTGAATACCGGTGTTTCCACAAAACGCTCATCCAAGAACTCGACGCCGGTTTCCTCCACATATACCGAGTCACAGCAAAGATCACGCCCGTCTAGGACGGGTGATGGCCCTAAGCGGTCTCATAAGAAAACCGGCAGTATATCAACTGCTCGGCAGATGGCTTTATCCGCGGCTGCCGATGAAACTGCTGATGAACCTCGCGGTGCAGAAGGAGATGATCCAATGGAGCCGCGTTACTGCTACTGTAACGAAGTCAGCTTCGGAGAAATGGTAGCATGCGATAACCCGAACTGCCCCCGGGAATGGTTCCATCTCTCATGTGTTGGATTGACCAAACCACCATCCAAGAGTGGTGAGTATTTATTTTCTTTGATATAACTAGTTATTACGGACATGGCTAATTTTCCACTTTCTTAGTTGTATGGTACTGCAACGAATGCAAGGACGGCGCGAGAAAGCCGAAGTCAGGCAATGGGAAGTAGGATAAGTCTATCTTCTTTAGTTTTTGGAGTTTCTTGGTTATTTCATTGCATTACGACTGGGCATAGTATCAAGGCAGAGGAGGCGGCGGCTCTAGTTTATATCCAGCGTTATAGGCGTACTCGCTTTTGCTAGTTTGACATATTATCAAGCGTGATACTCGACCTATTATTAGCCTTGGACTTTGGTCTCTACTCTATTTTTTTCGCGCTACGGTTTTACTCGGTGGATATATATTATTGAATTATAATTGAATTTTGTACATGCTAGATACTCAGAAGGTCCCCCTAAACCGGTCTAATATCTGTCCAGCCAGTGGCCTTCGCTGCTCTCCTTCCTGCACACCACCAGCCCCGCCGCCAGCACTACCTGTGCTTCTTCTGCCCCCATCCGTGTCTGTGCTAGCAACAGCAACAAAGGCAGCTCTAGATTCACCCTCTAGCCGTCGCCGTAGCCCTTCTAACCGCTCTGGATCTCTGCTTCCTGTCCCAGAAGAGGAAGCATCACCATCACCCCTATTTCTTGGAATTCCACGTCGTCTCTGACGTTCCGGCGAGCCACCATATATCCAACCCGGTATTCTCCATGATGATATCTTGCTTGGAAGCAGCTCAGCACGCCATGCGTAGCCGATCACCCAGCCTATGAATGCCGGTAGTATAGTGTGGGGCAATTGCGATAAGGCCAGCTGGAATGCAAGGAAATATATCGTCGATTTGTCACTGAATGTAATGGCTGGTCCATTACCCGATGAGCCGGTTAACAAACGGTACTTGTATGTCGTGGGGATAGTAGCGTGGTACTGCGCGAGTATGGCGAAGAGAATTGCGGTTGGTCCAGCGGGGAGATGGTTCAGCGTATTTAAAGATAGCGGGCGGACTGTAATCGTGAGGATAAGAGGCGGGAGAAAAGTTGTAAATGGAAGAGTGCTAAGAATAAAGCTCTATAGTATGGTATAGTCAGTAATTGAGTTATTTCATCTATCATCCTTTCAGAGATCCTCACCGCGAACTTCCTCGATCCCCATAGCCGTTCGATGACCCGTAAGCTATAGATAACCATTCCCGCCTGTAGAACCTCCGTGGAATTGGTATAACAGAGCTTGTATGACCGAATTAGTATATTAATTACTCCAATGGCACTTTAGGATGATACGGAAGTCAAGGGTATAATAATAGCGTACCGGCCAGATTAGAAACCGCCATAGCTGATGATACTGCCATATGTGTGGATTCACTTGGATGTAAAACAGGTATTTGGCATCTGCAATGCTCACCAGTATCGATGCAGCAATGATATAGACGAGAGCCAATTTGGTCACCGGCGCATTCGTGAATCCGGAGCTGAGCATCCTGATGCGTTCTTTCGCCTCTTCAGGTTTACCTCGCTGTTTTTTCTCGATCCCGCGGCCTGCAGTCAAACCAGAGATTTAAATTTGCAGTAACATGTTATGCTAGGCGGTAAGAACCCAGCGTGTCGTGTCGTGTTTGCGTTGTTTGAAGTATTGATTGCTTCATTGAGAGCGAAACTTGCCAGATGGGCCGAAGTGGTTGATCCGCACGGACCACCGGGATGTCACTACAATTAGAGAAAGCTTAAAGTTGACGTTTGAGGATGATGTAGATGTTTTGATATTGATATTTGATATTGATATTTGATATTTGATATTGCTCATGATGATATCTAGAATAAATAGCATTGCCTCCAATGTAGAATGCAGCCAGACTCCGAATTCCTCAGAACCCCTTTTTCAGTGTCCAAAGAAATGATGCACCGATGCTAAAATCAAGACTGTCCCTCTGCCGTCTGCTGCGCAAGGGCTTTTTGATACTCAGCTGTGGCCTTTGATAACGCATTAATAGTTGGGCCCATAAGCTGCTTGACAACCTTTTCGCCGCCATCAACCTCGGCGAGACGAATCCTCCTACCCGTAGAAGCCATTACCTCTCTCGCATGTTTCTTGAGCTTGTCAAGTTCGACCTGCCGTTCTGCTTCGGCTGCCTTTGCAACCTCGTTTATTCGATCCATGGCTCTGTTAAGTGATTCCACCATTGATGCAATCTCAGAAGCTCGATCAGGGTTTCCCGACAGAAACGCATTCCAAAATTGAGTTAGAAACTCAGTTGTGGTGGCATGCGTCAGAGCTAGGCGATCAAAGATCGTTTGTGAAAGGCCACAAGTACTCGAAGAGGACTCCGGGTCTGCCTGAGCCTTTCGTTGCCCGATTATTCCAAAGATCTGGGATTTGGCACTTGCTAGACTTGCCTTTGAACCAACCGGTTCTTTCTTGGGTTTTGATTGCTCTTCATCACTGCTATCCCCATCCTCAGGCTCGACAAGGCGGCTTAGCTTAACTTGAGGCGTATCTATGTATGTCCGACTGAAGTCTGACCGCAACATATTCAAGCTGGCTGTTGGATCTTGTTTCGCTACAACTTGCTCTTTCTTGATTTCACCAGCATTTCCTTCAGAAAAGAAGCGGCTTTGATCGCGAATATTCAACATGATACGTTTCTGTTCCTCTTGCTCCCGAAGATCTCGCAATTGCAACTCGTTATAGACTTCTCTGTCCGCATTTTCAGCGTTGGTCAGATGCTGGTCGGCAGGAGCCACATTCCTCATAATCTTTTCACTGAGGGAGTTCAAAGTCCTGATTATAGGAACCTTGTCTACCGGTGTTGGTCTCATATCAAAGGAAGGTCGATTACCTTGTCTTTGAGAGACATTTTCTTCATTTCCTTCTAGATTGATAAGATGGGGCACCCGTTCGAATTCATTAGCAGGCTGTCCCGTATTCTCATCATACTTCAGGTATTTATCAAGTAAGGAGTCCGTTGGGTCAGCGTCCGTTATCCGCTCGCCTCTCAATTTCTTGAAAAGGCGACTCTGGAAAAATTGAGACCAGAATATCTCCTCTGCCACCTTAGGAACGTTCTCATCGTAAACCTTTTTAACTAACGGGTGCTGGCTGAATATCAACTGGATCTGTTCCTTGCTCAAATTAAGCCTTCGCTTATCCTCAACTCGCGGCTTGACAGTTGACAATACGTTATAGGCTCCTTGTTCCTGAGATTTTTCTATAGCATGGGCCCGCAGCAGGTGTATTCGAGAAGACCAAAACTGAGATACAAGCTGCCCGTGTGTAACTGAAGCCGGCTTTGTTCGCAGAGACTCCGCAAAAACACGCTTTAGACCCTCGTTAAAATTCAACAGAGACTGCTGCAGAGCCATGTCGGCTTTGAGGCGATTATCGTCGTACCAGGGCGGCTTCGCAGCTGCAGGCGCTGTGGGTGTGCCATCTCGTGCCGGCGTCTGGGCTAACTTTGTATTTTGAATGATAGTATTCAGAGCTTCCTTGATCGCATCGGCCTCGGCGCGAGCATTAGAGGGCGAGGTGAATGTAAAAACGTATGGAACCGGAGCTGCGCTTTCCTGGCTCTGACCTTGACCTGGTGGTGGCCCTTGGACAAATATTTTCAGCATAACCTTCGGGTTATTAACGGGAGTCTGCTGTAAGTCTGGTCAAGACAATCTTCCATGTTAGCCAACAAAATCATGACTCCCGCTCCCCACGTCTGCTGCTCATAGCACCTGGGCGCAGCTGGCAACATACTGGTGACGGACGCTGTTTGCAACGACAACAAGCTATCTGACCCATTTTTAGGAGTCCACGTTATAGACTGAAGATCGCTCGATATCGCCAGCGTTCCATCCTTCTTCTTGTAAGACGCAGATGCGCTGGGAGAAGTCGGTGCCATGGCTCACGCCTGGTGCAAGCTACTTTGGCAGCTCCCACTGTGCTGTACGGCGTTGATCAGATGGCCTGGACCCATCTGGAGGGCAGAGCTGCAGGTCAGATTAAAACAAATACACGGGCAGAGAGACAATTCGTCTGCAGCGTTGACATTGCTGCCTTTCTTTCGCAGTTGGTCGCTTGGATGGAAGAAAAAGAAGCCCAAAAAAGATGTGTCACGTGAACGGTCAAGTTTGATAACCGGAAGGACGACGAAGGGCGAATCTTCAGATTTGACAACTTCTTGACCAGCTTGCTGTCTTGATACCCACGGAGACGGATTATGGATAGAGACTAATGGGGCTTATGACTGGCTGCCGGCTTATGATACCCGTTGCATCAACCAGTAGGGAGGTGACCATTCACTATGCATTGACAATTCACCAGTTAACCCCTACCTACATAGCTACCAGACATCCCCAAAGTTCTTGAATGCGACGCCAGGATTTACCATTTGGTTACCAACCACAATATGCTCGGAGAGATGCCAGTTCCTGGAGGCTGAAATTTGTTCTCCTGTAGCTACGCGCCCAGCCATGCGGCGCAGCCTCCACACAGGGCCCTCCGACGGGGATTCAGCATCACCTGGACCATTCCAAGAGCACACGATATCCAACCGTTCATCTGCTTCGAGGCGCATGCCAGCACGGCAACTCCGCTGCGGGCTTACTCTTTTGGCTCAGTCACGAAGTGCCTTTGATGATAGGCTACATTTGTGACTCATCTCGATGTTTTCTCATTTCTCTGCGCGGCCCCCAACATCTGCAGGCCCAGGGAACCGGATCGACCTGTCGGATCACTACGTATCTGACCCGTCCTTGTCTCATTCAATGCACTGTCACTCTTTTGACTGAATCGAGTGGTCGTCCTGGTCTGATATATACCAAGTAGTATGCCCACAACCCCTTGCCCTGCATGGAAGGCCTTTACCCGCATTTTCCAGGATCTGTATTCGCAATCTATATTGCTGCCTTCTGAAGGCAGTAAAGTAGATTGTGTACATACAAATGGAGACTCTACGCGCCCGTCATGATATACCCCTGGTGGAAGGAGGGGGAGGTTGGTTTATTTAAACCAGCCTTTCGCCCTCACTCTTGAGGAGATGATTCCATGCAATTACACCCTGCGGATACGATATTACATTATCAAATTTGCCATTCAACCAAAATTACAGGCCCAATCAGCGGCAAAGAGGTTAGTTGTCTTTGACACTACCGAGTCCAAACACCCTCTTTGAGCAGTCATGTCCCCCACACTCAAACCAGAGGAATTCCTCCTCCCCGTCACTGTCATTAGGGTTACCATGCACACAACCGGGTACTTTTTTGAATCGGATACCCGTAGTGGAAATCATGCCTCCATATTTCTTCTCACAGGCAATGACAAGTCGGTGCGACTGAATATGACCAAGGCAGGTCCCACGGATACCATGGGCACATATGACGAAACCCGGTGTGAATATGAATCATCACACAGCTCCCTCCACGATATCGACATTCCAGCAGTTACAGGGCTGACTGTCGGTCATGTTACCCGACTTATCCTAACAAAAGGACGCCGCAACTACAGGCTAGCTCCTAGTGGAGTAGGATGTTTGGGTGTAAGTATCCTAGAAATATGACTACCCTCAGTCCATTAACGTAAGGATAGGAAAACTATTATCGAGGATTTGGAGGGTGCCGGTTACATTCACCCAAATGGCAAAGACGCTATCATGCGAGCCTATAATGACTTGCAGTACAATTACTCTCGAGACAAGTCCCCCGAATTCGAGGCGATAGTTCCTGGAGCTTTCGTGTAGGAACCTAAGGGGTAAAATACAAGGACACATGTATGAACTGCAGGCATTAGAAAGACTTGAGTTTTCCGGGCCGGCGAGGCCCCCCTACCCCTAAATTTACCTATACAATTTTTGAAATGGCTCATCTCAAAGGATTATTGTCTGCATACCGCCTATTCAATTTACCTCACTTGAAAGATTAAATCATTCTTAAGGAAATAAACCTGGCCTCCTACTTATAATATCTCTATGGTAGAGAGTCATATAGAATGTTGTTAAAATCTCGCTGCTGCCTATTTACAGAAGACTATGCTACCTACATTCCTTATGTCTTACCCACTTTATTTCTAGATATACTATTATTCAAGAGTCCGCTAATTCTGCGCTAAACAAGAAGACTGATAGGCCCTAAGATAGGTAGTTAAACGAGTAGAGAGTCGAGAAAGGGTGAAGCGTTGATAGAGAGTGTGAAAAGGTTATTAGTTATATTATATCACACAGCTTGGAAATATGGGTACGAAAGAGCTTTGCCACAAAACCTGAGTTTGACTGCTTCACTATAGCTAGGTACAAAGGGCAGTATTCAGAATTAATTTTAAATGATACTTAAGCCTCATTTGTGCGGTAAAGGTTCCACAGGTGGCAGAGGCGGCAATGGCGGCAACGATTCGATATCAGCAAGAGTCCGAAGATTATTCTCGCGGGGCTCACTACAGAAAGGTTAGTTCTCTATCATATTCCCACTAAGCATATTGACTCACAATATATAGCGCAAACTTGCCGCTCGAGCCCTCAAAATCAGCCAAACACATTTTTCCTCATCTTCAGATAGGTTTGCTTTGCTTTTAACGGCATTAGAAAGACTTCGAATGTAAGCACCATCATCGTTGATACACTGAGCAGCAGCAACTTCATAGAACCGTGGGAAAAATCCGGAATGACCCCAGTCAAGCAAACATAGAGAGTCGTCGTCCAATAGTTTTATGTTCCGACGGCAAAGGTCAAGGTGGCAGAGAACAAGCGGGTATGGCCGTAGGTCTATCTCCTTGTTGAGAAGTTTAAGTCGCCTGTTGAGCCAGTGATTCATATCATCAACGGAATGAAAAACATCTTTTGTGCCATCGTC